TTAACCTCATATACGGCAAGATGTGATGGACTGTACCAACAGATGCCTCATTTGCTAACAAGATAAAGAGGACAAACAAAGATTGACAAGAATGCTCGAACCTCTATCGATATAGACCAAACCATGAAAAAGTATTTCTTTAGACTTCATAATAGGGCTTCCCAAAGTAGGAGATATAACAACGATCTTGGTAATAGTAGACTATTTCTCAAATCATGCCATGTTCATCCTAATGCAAAAGTTTGGTTTTGCAAAAAAAAACTACTCGTACGATTTTTAAACATATGGTAAAATATTGAGGTGTTTCTAAAAGTATTATCATTGATAATGATCTAAGGTTTATCAAGTTCTTCTAGAATGAGCTTTTAAAGCTATTGGGGTCAAAACTCAACATATCTTACAATTATCACTCACAAATGGATGGCTAGACAGAACGCCTCAATGGGTTGCTAAAAAACTATCTACAACATTTTGCACAAGTGAACCAGAAGAATTGGCCCAACCTACTAGACGTGGCTCAACTATGTTTCAATTCACAGAAAAGTTCAACCACTAATAAAACCCCTTTCAAAGTCATCATTGGACAATAGCCTAGACTTTCCCATACCTCAGTAGAGTCATACAGCTGAAAGAGTCCTCAAACATTCAACTTTGCTAAGGAATGGAGATCAAACACTGAAATTGTCAAAGCCGACTTAGAGAAATCCTCTAACCGTATGAAAAAGTGGGCAAATAAAGGTTGAAGGGAGTAACATTTTAACGTGGGAGACCCGGTGTTAGTGAAGTTGGTACCCGAATAACTTTGATTCCTAAGAAAAAGAGATTGAAGACTAGTGCGAAAGTATGAAGGTCCAGGATCGGTTATTCTAAAAGTAGGGAAGACTTCCTACAAGATTGATCCATCCAAGTGGATAAAGGTATACCTTATGTTTCACATCAGTAACCTGAAGTCGTTTTATACAGATCTAGCAGATGCAAGCAAGAGTCAAGCCACCATCACAACACAAGGTAGAGGAGATTCTGATAGGGGGATGATGATAATCAAACGATGACCAATACAGGACTATCTAGTAAAATGGAAAGGTTTAGGGCTATATGAAACCACCTAGGAGAAAGAAGTCGACTTGAGCACCTTCAAACAGAAGATTAAAGAATTCCAAGCTAAGCAGTCAACAGAGATGTTGATAGATTGAGAGAGGGAAGATGCTATGAGCCAATATTGTATAGGGTTATGACAAGGTAGAATTTTCTAGGAGTTTAAGTCTTTTATGCTTCTAAGGGAGATGTTCCCATTTTCAAACATTGTAATGGCACTTGTTTACATTTGTAGAAATTCTTATTAAGTTTTTAAGGGAAAAACCCTTTAGAAAAAAGATCTTCACATCTTAAGCATTATAATGGCTATTAGTGAAATACTTGTAAAATCTCGTAAACTTTTTATAAGAAGTGAGCAGTTAGCAGGTTGTTGGGTTGCCTCGCTAGTAAAGATACAAATGAGTTATTGGCTGATTTGCATGGAAGCGTTCACTCAAGCACCTCATGGACTATCGCATACTTAAGCATAGGAGCATAGTTCGTGACACGTACCCTTGTTGCCCACCTTGACATTCTTAGGGTCAAGCAAAAGCCCACCAACCTTCTGAACTTGTTAATGCAAGCTATTATCATTCATAACAGCATGATAGGTTGGGTAATATTTTTCTTTCACGTCTATATAAGCATTACATCTGTGTAAAGTTGCTTATCCTTTTATAACCTACAACAAGTCACGATTATATAAGCAAGACTAAGCATGCATGCAAACTAATATCTTTCACTTAGTTCATTAAAACAACCAAACGGGCAGTTAGCCAAGAAATTAAGAAAGTAGATCAAAAATGTAATAAAACCTGAATGTGGCCACGATATTGGAAAACAATGTTCTTAATAAAGCACCAAACTACATATAATAATTCCCAAAACACCTATACAATATGCCAATAGGGAGTGCTCTTTGTAGACAAAAAACGATAAACTTGGAACAGTGGGAACAAGGAATTTAGATCTTTATTTCTGATATGTGGTTTGGGGGATAACATCACAACAAGGAAAAAATTGGGAAAAAGTAGAACTAACAAATATGTAAATTCTCCTTGAACAAGAAACAGGGAAAAGAGAATGATCCATGAAATACTTGAGTACAAGAGCAGGAAGGAGGATAAAATCAAAAGGTTGAGAAAAATCATCTACTTTACAAAGAGAATAAAATAGTTGAAATATGTTAGTAAAATATTGCAAATGGCAAAAAAACCTAAGAACAATGGACATGTAAGGGATTTCTTAACTGGTTTTTGTTACAAAATTATTATTCATTATGGTATTGTTTATCAGAACCAAAATTAAAAAGGCTGGGTATTGTCGTATACCTCTTTGAACCTCTGTTGGAGTTTAGGTAAGCCTTCCATGGTGAGACTCCTCAGAGTGTCCCCAAATTCAACATATGATGGAATTACATTGAATGCAGACCCACTTCTGATATAGGTAACAGACAACACCTTAAAGCAAAAAGTAAAGCATCAGCATTAGGTTGCATTAGATGCTTAATGTACTTTAGTTACTATATATGCATTATTTACTATCTAAAGAAATGATAGATATCAAATTTGTCAAATAGGCATGAAACATTCCTCTACAAGTTACTACTAATGAGAAACACACTTTGCCATTTCTTTTTGGCAATGTACTTTTTTTGACCAACAAAAACAAGAGTTGTTTTATATAGAATGAAGCACTGGAAGAGTAAATTTTACAATTGTTGAGATGGTGGAACTCTCATATCAGACACAAATCATGTTAAAGGCTTTAAACTGAGCAAATCGAAAGAATTTGTATCTAGTTATTTTAAAGTTATCAAGTAACCAGGTCCATACAGTTTCATGCATTTATAGCAAAATCGAAACCAGAAGATCTCATGAACACTTAGATAGAAAAGTTGAAACATATTAGACTATGGAGTTGATCAGCTTCTCTAGAGATTAGTTGTTGCAATGTCAAAATTACAAAGGATGCAGCAAGTATTGGATCTATAGTATAATGGGGCTTTGCAGCATGCCCACCAACTCCTATTTTCGCTTCAAAAAAGCTGATAGTAGCTAACAATGGCCCTGAAACCAATCCTATCCTTCATGTGGGGATTGTGCAATCAATATTCATTCCAAATATTGCTTCAACATTGTCCCTTATCATTTGAGACGCACTGGCACTTGTTTCATTTGCAGGTTGAAAAAGTAGTCTGGCAGTTCCTTCAGTGGCATATAAAGGAGAAATCATTCCACTTAAAGTAAATTTTAAAATTTAAAAGATAAAGTCCAAATTTATCACTGTACTTAAGCTAATGGATCCAACTTAACACTCATTTTTTAACAAATTGCAATTTTATCGTTGTACTTCATAATTTGGTTCAAAATAGTCAAATTTAGAATATTTTGTAGAATATTCCTTTATTTTCTAAGAGAATATTCTTTCACCATTAATTTTTAACTATTCTTTAACCAAATTACAAAGCATAATGATGAAATTGCACTCATTCAAAAAATGAGTGGTAAATTTGATTCATCACCTAAAGTAGATTGATAAATTTGAACCTTATCCCGAGCTTTAACAAATAGAACTTATATTATATACCTTTTTGTAAATAGAGAAAATTAAACAAATTCTTTTATCCTTCCTGCCTCTAGTCTAAAGTGTTGTTCAGGAAGCTAGACAAGTATCATTAAGCCGCATGTGATGCTTGTAAAGAATCACCCAAACCTACCTTCAATTAATGGTTATCTTCCTGGCCGCCGGTAATTTTCCATGTTTGGGACGCCAATCGATACCTAATGAGTTAAGCTTTCCTTTTTAATCAGGAAAAGATAACTAATTCAACTACACATCCAGCCAGTAGAGATTAACAGTTATGAAGATTGGAAATCAAAGCGAACCTTAAGGCTATTTTTGCGTTGATTAAGCAACTTGGCAGCACCAAGGAGCATGGTAGCGTATGCATCGTGCCCGCATGCATGCATTTTGCCATCCATTTTGCCCTATGCTCCCATTCCACAAGCTCCTCCAGAATCATTAACGCAAACAAAAAAAAAACATTTGTGATGATCACGTGAATATGGTAAAAAGAAGAAAAGGGTTGCTAATTTTAGGGTCACCTGAATGGGAAGAGCGTCCATGTCAGCTTGAAGAGCAACAACAGGTTTAGAACCAGAGCCAATATGGGTGACAATACTGGTCCTGGCAACCGGAAGGGATACCAAGTTGATCGAGTTGTTTGCGGATAAGAGCACGGGTGTTGAATTCTTGGAAGCGGAGTTCGAGGTTTTCATGGATTTGACTCTTGATGGAAACTAACCAATCTTTCTCTTGCTGAGCTGAACTCAAGAGTTTATCTCTGTAATCTTGGTCATGTCTGCCATGTTTCGCCGAGAGGTAAGTAACGGAGAAAAGCACAGAGAGCAAAACACGGTAACTTAAGGTTCCTGACCAACGTTTGTTGTCGGTTGTCGCCTTTGCATACTCATTAGTCATTAAAATAAAAACCCGAACGAATTTTATTTTCGTTCATTTTGACAGAAAAAAAAAATTTTAATTTTGACAGTTTTATTGCGGGGTGGTGGCGCAGCTGGCTAGCGCGTAGCTCTCATAGCTTAACGAGAGTGATCCTGAGGTCGAGAGTTCGAGCGTCTTTCACCCCATATCTATTTTTTGTTTCCTCTTTACATGCAAAATGCAGTCTGGATTATGATTATGCTTTTATAGTTAATTACCAATTATACATACATACACATCTACATACAACTGCTACTAAGTGATTTTGCATATTGCTTCACGGAAGTTCTACCATTGAGCATACTGATGATCGATTGACCCTTCGATTTCTCTACAAGGTTTTTGCGTATATGACTGTTTGTAACTCATTCTGATGATTGGGAATCATATATATATATATATATATATATATAGACAGATGCTACGAATATTACACTAAATAGATATATTAGTCATACACATAAATGTTAGTACTCAAACAAAATCATTGCCGCAGCCCTAACTACTACGGGGTCTCAAAGTGAAGTGAGTCAACTATACACAAGGAAATAAGGAGCTTCAAATTACAAGACATACAATGTGCTAACCAAAATTATAAACAAGATTGACACCACAGCTACCCGAAAAATAACAGCAAATGGTTTATGTGAGCGACGAGCTGAAAACTTCTTTAAGCAACGAGATTGAATCTCTTTGCAAACTGAAACAATGCTCTTTGACCTCAAAAGACAGTTTTTGCATGACCCAGAAAGGGATATTTCCTGAGGTTCATCCATGGTGCCATCAACAGTGATATCCTCTTCCACAACTTTTATCTCCTGCAAACGACAACTGAATAAGATCCAATCTATATCTTGATGTGGTAGTGTTTTTATACAAGCATCAGTTACAAACTTCTCACCTCTTTAAAAACTGGATTTGAATTATGCTCCTTCTCTTCACTACTCCAGTCATTCATGGCATTGCCACAGTAAAGTGGGCCAACTTGAAATTTACGCTGCAGACGTATTCTTCTCCGTGCATTACCCTGTGTCATAGAGTTCTCAGTGTCTGGTTGACTTCGAGCAATGCGAGATCTAATCTTGATTCCAGTGATAGCATTATCAACATTACAAGCTGTATTGCTCAATTCTCCATTACTATTCAACACATTAAACAATGGCCCTGCACCAGAAAAGTTAACGTCCTGCTTGGGGTTTAGAATTGTGCAATCCTGTGCAGTTGCTTTAATCTCTAAAGGAGCCCCTCCTCTGTTGGCAGTTTCTGTCCCCAGCTGTTTCAAAGGAAAATTCTTGTTTATAGAAAAGAAATTTACATTTTTGAGGAAAAAATGGACCTAATGCCTGAAGATGCAAATATGAAAATCAGTTATGTATATATAAATGCATTGGCACATGCACATCATATCATGATCATGAAAGCATTATGAGCCATACCATTTGAATGCATCTTGACACACTACAACGCTCAATGAGAAAACTAACAAGAATATATGATAAACAATGTCTAACTAGCTAGCTTCTACTCACCAGCACTTGGGCCACTTCGGCATCTGATTCACCACCTGATCCATCCTTACCAATGGCCATGGCCCTAGGGGTCTCACTTTCAATAGTTGAATTCTTCTGACTGCCAGAGTCATCACTGCAGCATTCATCTGGATTTTTGAGGATGTCATTTAAGAAGTCAGAAATATCAGCATCATTTTCATTTGTGCCATGCTCAAGCACCACCCCACTGAAACTGTTCCCAACATGATTAAACATCCAAGGTGCCTGCTCTGCTTCAATCTGTGAGTGCAATGGAGAAAAGAGTTTGCAGGACAGTGAATCCATCATGGGATCATAAAACTGGTTCAGGGCTTCCACAAGTGTATCCACCTGAAATTGAACAATATAAGTACTATAGCAATGATTGCAAAATATAAATTCAAACACAGTGTCTTTTTCTCACCTCTGCAGGTGCTATATCTGCCACTTGACCTGTTACACCATAAGCTTTATAATCATTGCTGTTGCACTCTAATATGGGTGCAACTGCATTAGATATCACTTCATTTGGCAAATCCACAGCATAAGTTTCACTACTCATGGGAATTTTCTCAGCTTCCCCTTCCACAACAGGGGAGTCTTGAGGCACTACTAACTCAGACTGCATGTCTTCCGCAGGAGTCGATATAGCAGGATCAACTTCATCACCATTTATATCTTCAATGGTCTCATCTTCTTTCTTGAATAGACGACAAATTACAAACGCATTCTGCAAACGTAGAAAGCGGAAACAATGAATATGAGAAAAACTATAATCAAATGGTCAACACTCGTAAATCAAGCAACTACTTCAACACATCATCACAATTGACCCCCCGATCATACACATAAACCCTAGTAGTCGCGTACAAACATATAACCATCAAACAACTTATTAAACAGAAATTGATGCAAAAGGACTCCCATAACTAATCTTGTACAAAAACATTTATCATATCAAAGAATTCATGATGTCAACTAATTTCCCCAATCGATATGACAAAATTGACCTTCATTTTCCATGATCATGATAACAAGGTCAAACTAAACAGAAACTGAAATTCAAACAAAACACAAGTAAGAAAAGAGAGGAGGAACCTGTCCGGGCTTGGTGCCGTCAAGTTCATCAAGGGTAGTACGGTACTCGTGCACAACCCAATTGGTTCGCTTTCCTCTAGGAGCCCGGCCAGTGTAAAAGACTAGAGTTTTCTTCATGCCGATCAAGCTGGACCCAGATTTAATTTTGCGATCCTTCCCCGTAGCCTTCCAGTAACCAGCCTCGGTAGCCCTGTTGAGCCTGTTGCCGTTGGGGTACTTTCGGTCGAGTGGGCAAAAGAAAAACCACTCCGGGTCACGAGTCTCTATAGCTGACAAATCAGGCAAATCCCACGGCTCACATTTACAAACATCGATTTCACGAATGACTCCAACCTCATCACTTCTATTCCCGTTTATCTTCGACCGTAAGTAAAAATCGATCAACTCCTCGTCGGTTGGTCGGAACCGGAATCCGATTGGGAGTGAATTCAGTGACAGAGTAGCCATGCTAAAATCTCGTTCAAACCTTAAGAAAAAAAAGGGATAGTTTGGGAGATTTTAAGAAGAAAAAAAAAAGGATAACCCTAAAAATGATGGAAAGGAAAAAAGGGAGAGGAGTAAGAGAAGATTCAAAGGGGAATTTGTAATAGGAAGAGTTGGTTAAGAAGAGCTTGAAGGGAAAGCAGGGTGGCCCATAGCTTTCCTTTGTGGCTTTCAAGGATATGAAGGTTAGGAAGGAACTCAGAAAGTCATCGTTATTTATTTTCAATTTACCCGCGTTCAAGTCGGATATTCCGCGTAGGATTTGTACTCCCCTTCCGCGCTAGTGCTGTGCGTTTACCGTTGTGCCATTTTCCAACCCCATATTTCTTTTTCTTTCCTCGTTGTTACTACTTGCTGGTGTCCCCCAGGGCGTAATTTTCCTAACTATCCAGGGGCGGATTCGCCGATGCCAAGTGGAGAATTGTGTAAGCCGGCGAACCAGATTTTGACATGTGGAAGATGGTGTCACAATGAAAAGCGTGGGGTCTAATGATTACGTGGCATCATGAGAAGGTACTACGAACTTTACTTTATTTTTTTTTGATAGGACCTACTTCCTCAACGTTAGTTTTCTTAGTTCTTTAACGCAGTTGGAGCTTCGAAAAGGATTGACGGGAGTCGTATTCAATAATACATTCTCCACCTGCTTAGGCCCTCGCTCTTGTTCTTGTCCTCTTTTTTTTTTCCCTAAATATTATACCCCGATGAGATACTATTTTTATTACCACTTATTAATTAGAACACAAAGGTGTTATTACGAGTGTACAAGTACAGGTTTCTTGCTAAAATTATATTTATTTCAACCCAAAAAAAAAGAAGAAAAACAATTTGGATGCAAGGGGTTTATCATCAATAAGCATATTAAAATTTCTGTTCTTTTACTCCCACCTCCGATTTTCCCATCACAAAGAAAAAAAAAATCCAACACTTTTTGGCTTTTGACACTAAAACAGAGTCAAGTGTGAACACCCAAAAAGTGTTTCGTGGAAATTGGCATACATTTTGGGGAAAAGGAAAACCCAAAATGTGGGTCCTTTGCTTTCTCATGATTCCATTATATACTAACACCAAGAACTCCAAAAGCTCCAAGTTAACTAATTAACAGATTAATGCACAGGTTCTCAGCTTAGCGCACTCCCATAGTACATGCATTGACATTCAAATCTTTTCCAAAGTAAGAGGCTAAGGAATCCCAAAAAAGTTTTAAACCTTCACAATTATCTCTGTGCATTAGATTTTCAATACAATTTTGTCCTTTCTTTTTGGGAAAGACAAAGAGTTAGGACAAAAGCTCATCAAGCACCATTAAGTCTATTTTATGTTTTGGCCTTTTCGATTTTACTCACTAGAATATAGAAAGGGAAGTGTACATTGGATTCTTCATCATCACTTTTCAAATTTAAAAATAAAAAAACTAAAAAGGGCTTGGAGTTTGTGCTATTGTTCTCAAATCATCAAATAGAATGGATTCCTAGTCAATATTGCTACCTACATGTCAACCTTATCTTTCTTACCTAGTAATATGGAGGTTTCCTTGATTACATGCTTCACAATGATAGTCTGGACTACTCTAGATTACTGCCCATGTCATTTGCCAGCTCCAGTAACCAGGAAGCTAAGAAGAGAAGACAGCATCCTCGTCAACCTACAAATGTGAATGCCAGTTCTCCATTCTTATATGCAACAACAATTTGCCCTCCCTCAGTCTAGATTTTGGAAACAGAACTCATTAAGATGCAAACATAGAGGAAATCTCAAGGTACATAACTGCACAAATTGTAATTGTTTCTGCTCTATTCTTCATGACAAAGAAAAATCTGCTTTGCATCCATCCTGGTTGCAGTCCATATACAATATGCCCTAAAGTGGTGTACTCACCATACTACAAAAGAGTGATTGCTACCTGCCTAGTTGTAATAATGAAAAATATACATATAAACTTCCGTTCCTTTCTCTTTTCCGTTTCCCTGTTTAATGGGAAATCAGAGGTACGACTGGATCATAGCAAAAGTTAGACATGGCACAGCTTGTCCAATCTGCCAATGGCCAACAGAATGGCCATCAATGGGAAAGCCGTTAAAATTCATGTTGCTGAGACGGTTGGCACAGGAGTCCCCTACTTGATAGTGTGAGAGAGTTGATATTCTTGAGCATGATGAAAATAGTATTGCAGGAATCATGGAGAATATTTGCATCACAAAGATTTCAAGCTCTCTCTGAAACACTCCGATGGCTATCTTAAGCATGAACAGCACAAACTGCCCGTGCCTTTGCACTTTCTTCATTTAAGCTTTCATTTCTGTGCACATACTGAATTTACATCTAAGTCACATTGCATCTCAGATGTTATCAAGATGTCAACTGGGAACATGGCATTCTTATTGGTGAGAACACCACTGTAAGTCGTGCGTGATCGGAGAGAGAATAATTATCAGGCCACCTCCCTTTTTCCACCTCTGGAGGGAATAGGACTGCGTTCTTCACACTAAAACCAATAGCTTGCTCCTTACCGTCCAGGGCTTCATTGCTGTCTCTTTGCTCTGACCATGTAGGTTTCCAGATTCGCTGCTGCAAAGTCATTATTTCACAGCATTAGCATTAGATACAATAAATCTACCCAATGGAATTAATGGCAATTTGAGTTAAACCACTATGTAAAAACACACAATTGTAGGAGATAAGTTAAGCTAACTAGCGGTGTTTGTTTTTCAATACTGGGTACATTATTTATGCAGAGCTCTCTGAATTAAGAATATAATTACAGAGACTCAGAGACATACACATAATTGGCATAATCAAGCTATTTGGTTCATCAGACAGACTATGAAGATCAAGTACCCTGGAACACTGACATAATGCCAAAACCCAGAAATATTTTTACCAATATTATGGAAGCACCAGAGTGCTTTCTTGCAATAAGAGCTAACACCTAAGACAAGTTCCATAAGAGTTACCTGAAATTCTTTATAATCAACAACACTGTTTCCATCAATGTCTGCTTGAACCCACAAGTCCTTTGTCTCTTCAACACTTAGTCCATGGCGATGACCAGTTATATTAAGCTGTAGAAAGACAGAACATTGCACTATTTTTATCCTCATATAAGCAACAAAGTAATGAAATGACCAGAAATAAGTTTTACATCCCAATTTAATGAAAGTTCTATACCTGTCGAAGAGCTTCACAGAATCCTGCGTAGGTAACGTAATCCCCATCATTGTCAGCCTTAAGAAAAGCAAATGCATCATCTTCTGTTAGTGAGGCTTTCCTTAGTTGATTCTGTAAAAGAAAATCCACTGTAAGATGAAAGTATTCCTGAAGTCTGTTTTATTTCCTTGACTAGGTACACTTTTCCTCTAGGATTCATGGAGATAATAAACAAGACACAGATATCAGGTAGATTTTCTCGTATTCCAGCTTAAAATGAATAACAACCAGGGAGCAATTACTAACTCCACAAAACTCCAATCACAGAATGAGAAATCTTTAGCAGAAATCAAATTTCACAATATTAGAGAGGTCAGGGACGCACATTAACAAGTTTTCTAGTCACCTTATACTATCTTTCAAGCTGCAAGTTCCTGTAAGTTCAAGAAGAGAGTAGAGGATGAAAGCATCCCCTGAACAAGGACATGGTGTCCTGTGTTTGGAATCTCAAGGCATAAAGGTCACTTGTTATCCTTTCTCCCAAAATCAGTGTTCAAATTTCAAAATTGATAAGAGTGATTAGCATTTCAATTAACAGTTGTTTGATAGAGATGAGGTATATGAAATAAGTTCTACAAGTGAATGTTGATGCCCATTTTAAACTTGGTTACTTTCTTTTTGTGGTCACTGAAAGCTTATAAATCTACAAATAAAAAACAGAATATCTCCCTAACTCTATAGTCATAAGGAAGTTGAAGAGGGGGATGTAGAAGTAAATAGAACAACAATGTAAAGCTTCTGACCTTGAACATGCCAAAGACTGCTTCACTCCAACTTGTTTTCAGCAGCTTACGATATCTATTGGGATTGAGAAGCCATATAAAATCCACACCGCATACATTTCCCCGATGATTGAGGTGGCTAACCCACTGTTTTTAAAATATGGAAGATATAAGAGAATTACCAGACATCTGTATTAGCTTTGACTAAAAGATTTGCAAAAAGGAATAGGGACATTAATGTGGTCCTAGTAGGAGCATAAAGATATTCACCTTATGTGCATCTGCATCGGTGTACTGATGAGCAGTATCATATGAAGATTCGAAGCCCTGGGACCTAAGGAACTTGTAAACGTGCCCACGCTTGCTTCCATTCCAGTCACTGTGGGAAATGAGCAAGAAAAGAAACAAATTAGTATTGCTGTACGACGGTAAGATATCAGTATTTAGTCCAAACTAAAAGAAAACAAATTATGTACTCACCCGCAAAGTATAATCGGCAAAGGATTAAGTTTGTATTCCTTCTGATAAGATTCCACATACTGCAAGATTTTGTAGACCTGCCAAATATACCACAGGTATCAAAATACGTAAAAAGACTTAAGTGAACAATTTCTGCTTTGATATGAACTGAAGCTTGTTTTTACCTGATGCAACCGTACTATGCACAAACTTGAATCGTGAGGAAAAAGCAAATGGGTATTCACAATTAGGATTTCTTGGCAAGTATCATTGTTTCTGTATTGTGAAACAGGGGCCGCCAACTCAACATGTAACAACTGCGCAACCCGGTCTCCACAGTCATTGAATAGCAATTCCCTATAGTTAATAACTCTAAAATAGTCCTTATGCACGGCAGTCAACAGGCCTGTTGTCTCCAACAGAAACAAGGTTATGTCAGGACTAGAAGGAATCAACAGAATTAGAATGGAAGAAAATGGACTGCTTCATTGCTTAATCTACAAGTAACCATTAAAAAATTTCTGTCAACATGCAAGACCAGACCCCACCATTTCTAAAATTTCCTGCCTCACAGAACAAATGAACAATGCCTGTTAAGGTAGTCCACATGATACAGTGGAATTCCAAATGTCGACAGAGAGTTAAAGACCATTTCAAGAAAAAGGAAAAAGGTTAATAGAAAGCAACCTCGACCTGCTTCATTTGTGTAAAAGGCCTATCCCTACACCCAATTCATGACACTTGCACGTTTCTCAACTTGAAAAAAATGCGCTTTCTTCTTTTCTTTTTTTCTTTTTCCCCGTTTCTCTTTGGTTGGGAAAAATTTGTGTCAACATCATTTGAGACAGAAAGCATAGTGTTCCAAAGATACTACCAAGGATCTTGTCGACCGGTCCTATATATCGAATTGGATTTTGAAGTTGTCATTTGTTTCCCTACCCCCAAACCCACTTTTCCTTGTCCAAATTATCACGTTCTCTAATCCTTGTATGCGTCCACCAGATCAACGTTAGGTGGGAAAAAAGAAATATGATTGTCACCATCCTAATCAAGGCCCTATACGGTTGGTGACTTGGTTGTGGGTGAACAATGTACCGGGCGGCTGCGTAAAGGGCCTATTCAATTAAAATTTTAAAAAGATAATAGAATAGAGAGTCAAACGTACCATCGCCACGGTTGTTGGTACGTCCAAGCTTGAATTAAGATAACCAGCATCACCTAGCCTCTTCTCATACATATTAACAAGCTCTTCATTCCCAACCCAGAATTCCTACACCAACAAAAGGGGTTGCGGATTCATAATCATAACATAATAATATAGACATGGCGTGAAATTGAAATGGGAACCTGTAGACAAATAATGGAAGATCTCTCGTATAACAAAGAATCCAATATCCGATGATTCCTGGCCAACCAATATGCCCTGTAATCGCTTTCACGGCAGTTCTGGTCCTGAATCCATTCATAAACGCAAAACGAAACCAATCAATAAAAAAGGGCAGTCGAATCATTCAAAAAGAAAGGTAAAAACAAAAAAAAAAACAAAAAAGAAAGAAACCTTATGAGAAAGGCGTTTGTAAATGGGAGCGAGGATGTTAAAAGTTGTGCAGGTAATGCAGGGTTGGTGAGGATGATCTCTCATTGAAGAGGCAATCGCATAGCTTCCAATCCTCGATACCCTTCCCTTCGTCTTTGTTCTCCTATCCTTTCTCATATTCGATTTATACGATAAACCAAAAAAGCAAATACTAACCAATAAAAAGAAGAAGAAGAAGAAGAAGAAGAAGAAGAAGAAAACAGAGTCCCTTCGGATTTTAAAAATATGAAGCTGAGCAGAGCTAGGTGACGATTGACGTTGGGGAATGTTATTGAAAAAGTACAAAATGAAGAAAAAAGAAATGATACTAGTAATAATAATGGACTAAAACAAGCGGGTAGCGGCGGTGTCCCTTCCCCTTAGGAAACCAAAGCCACCCTGAAAATGAAACCACCACCACCACCACGACCGCCTTTCCTTGCTCCGCTTTCAACTAAAACAATGCCCAACCTCATATTTACCCCCTTCCTTTTTGTTGTCATCGTTCGTTTATATGACTCTTCTCCTCCTTGCCTTGTATTTATACCGCTGGTTTTAATGTAATAACCAATATTATTCTATAGTCCTTATGCTGCTAAGTGGGGAGTATCTCTTTTCTTATATATATTTCTACTATATCGTATGTTGCTGAATGCTAATTCGTTCTTGATTTCAAAAATTCCGTTGCACTTTCCAAATCGTGGCTTTAAAGTAACGCATGCATGCCTTTAGCCCCATTCGTAATCCTTGTTATAAATATTATCGTATTCTAAATTCTCATGTGTGAATGCATTCATGTCTCAAAATTTAATATTTCGTTTTTTTTAAAATCTATCCTATGTTCTTCCTTTTTTTATGTATGTAGAAAGTATAAATAGAATTAGATATTATAAGTATAATTTACCAAGTAAATCTTTACAAACATAGCAAAATAGCAAACAAACTAATTTGCAGAATTAGCAAGTAGGTAAAGAAAATTCAACACAAAATTGGATCAAATTTAGAGTATTGTGTTTCTAAAATTTCAGCCTTAATTATTAGTTAGAAAGCATTATCTTACCATCAAGGAAGAAAAATGAAATACCTTATAAATTATTTTTATCATGTGTTTATATAGTAAAATCAATAAATTAAGCCATGATACGCTTTTAAAACCATAAAATTTCAATATTAATTAGCAATAAGAAAACACTATCTCACCAATGAAAAACATTAAAAAACTTTATAAATTATTCTTATCGTATATTTTTACTTTAAAATGGATAAATTAAGATTTGATGCATCTCTTAAAATTATAAAATTGGTAGCATTAACAACTTACAATCCGGGTAATAAAAATTTCTCATTGAAATCTTTGATTTTTTTTTTCTTTTCTTTTGTTCATTTCACTGGCGGGGGGGATTGACAAACAAAATGACGGCAATTAGGTTTCCCTGCTTGATGGATATACTCAAGCACAGTGCAAGGAGCCCACAGAATTTGTTCTTTCCTTTTCTGCCGAAAGTAGTGATGGTAGATTAATTGATTTCGATTACTATCGCCTTTTTCATGTCCACTACTTTTCCTGTAGCTTACACTGATTACTCAACAGCCAAAAAGTCCCTCATCTACGTAATCTCCTAATTCATATTTCGTGGTAATGGCGTCTCATCTCATCTCCCAATCATATTCTTCATATAGGACTTCAATTTTTTTTATAATGGAACATGTCAGCAGTCAGTTTCAAAAATATGGAGAGCGGGGGCAGCATTTAAGCTTTTTCCATTCACTCTCGATGTAGTCGAATCTAGTACTAGTAGCAGTACTGCAGTAGTTGATAACAAAAAAATTGGCAATAATTAAAATTAAAAGGACAAAAGAAAAATGGGTCGACGAGGAATTGGGAAAGACAAACTGATGAATGACAAAGGAGCATATTTGGGAAGACGCGGCGGAAAAGGCGTGCTCCACTGCTTGGAACCACGATTCCCTCCGAATAATTAAAACCAAATAGCACTGACTACTTGCGGCAGAAGTCGGCAACTAGAGTGACCAAGATGCAAATTTCGGTGCCAGCCCGTACGATTCATGCGTACATGACAATTCTGCTTCACGTAAATACTACTTACAATTTTTTTTGAAAAAATGAAATGCCCAAAAACCAAAGACAAAGTACCTGTTGGAAGTTAAAAGGAGTCAATACCATAATTAGTAGGTATACGAAATCATTGGGTTTGGACCATAACAATGGAAATGGAGTGACTGCTTGCTAACAAAGCAATAGCCGAAAGGGGTGAGGAATAAAGGGGGGATTATGGTTTGTGAAGACCTTTAATTGCAATATCAATACGAGCCTTAATTGTATGTTGCAAAATTATTAAGCATAACATCAAAAGAATTGTTTTTATTGTAGACAAAAAAGCAAGTTATGTGAATGAAAACGTCAACGAGTTAAGCAGAATTTGGGGTCAACTTCAAATTAATTGGCTCTAATTTGAAATATTTAGGATCAACTCCAAATGAATTGGCTCTTTCAAAAATTTAAATCCAAATTTGATTGATTTAGAAAAAGATTCTCTCCATTGTTAAAAAATGGTCAAGATGTCCACTCTTTTCATCATATAACGTGTATTATCAAAGAAGTTTAACATCATAATTTGTCCATGCTATTTTCTCTTTTTTAATTAATTTTCATCTATCTTTTTATTCAATATAAGACCATTAAATTTTGAATCAAAAATTAACTTCAGTGTATATTAATCACCCTAGGTGATGTACACTATTTTATTATTCCAAAAATAAAAATATACTTTATTTAATATTTTTCAGATATTATTTTTGAATTTATATGAAATAAAATATGTATTATTTGTTTTATAGAACAAATTCTTGGGCCAAGTTGAATTAGGCTCACATTTTATAATCTAAACTCAATGGCCGACTAAAAGCAGGCAGAGTCTACGAGCATGAGCCTGACCTTATATGTGAAGCGTGGTATATTAAAAAACAAACAAAATCAGTTTCCAACTATCAACTTAAGTTGACCTAACGGAGTAACCAACCCGAGTTGACCCGCTCCAGCCTCAAGTCTAAGGTTGTTCAACCCACCTCTCTTTACTCATTAAAATAGTTGCAAATCAGAGGCACTCCAGTAAACGCATTAATGATGATATATAAATTCCCGGATATCTCATGTAAATTTAAAAAAAACGAGATTTCAAATTTTAAATTTAAAAAAAGTAAGCTTTTTTTTTTCTTTTTTGGCATTTTAGTTTTAAAGGATGCATTTGCTTGATAAAACAAAGTCCAGCCGGTTCAATCCAACTAAGATGAAGTATTAATATTTATACTTGAGGTTTAGCAAAAAGTTTATTTGGGGGGTAGTTGTAGAATTTATATGGAACTGCCATTGGTATATTGGGATCACATTCCAAAGACTTGTATGTTTTCCTCTTCAACACGATAGGAGAAGATATTTAAGTACGTTTTGAAAGATCTTTGATTCGTCTTGTAGCATTCTAATAATACAGTAGTCCATAAATGTTTCAACAGAGTTCTCAACTACCTCACATGAACATTAATTAGGAACCGCCTAGCTACAGGATTGCTTTCATGGTCTCATATGCCTTTGTAATATGGTTATATATGTATACACACTGTTCTGACATTACAGCACTTCCCGTCGTTCGATTGGATTCATGGCCACAACGAGACAAATCCTATCCTTCCGCGCCCTCTGTCCCCAGCGCCTCTCGAGTAACCTTTAAAGCATGCCATGATAGATATTATCTTTGGTGAGCTGGCAATGCACGGTTTTGCAGGAGGCATGGATGGTTTTGAGGAACTCAACAAGACGGAAAGGAAGAAACGCAGGCTGAAGCGGCACGATAGAATTAGCTTTTCAGCCACCCTGCCTGGTGATGTTGGCGGCGTTTTTGCTGGCAGTCTCTGTGTAGTTAAGTTGTCTAAGGACCCATTTTCCGATATAAGAGAGTCCATATTAGAGATGATTGATGATGCAGGTGTACGTGATTGGAATGCAATGGAAGAGCTGGTTTACTGTTACATTGCTCTCAACTCACCAGAGGTTCATGAGATCATTGCCAATGCTTTTCTGAGTTTGTATTAGTCTTAATTTTCGTTCTTATTAGTTCCTACTGTTTATAAATCTATGTAGCATCTTTCATTAGAAGTATGACATTATTAGCTTGGCTTGTAAAATCATGTGGAACCTGGAATCTATTTTGATTTTATTCAAGTATATAACGGACCAATATCTCAAAATTCCAGAGATTTCTGTCATTTCTCATTGTAAACAAGAAATTGTGCTGAAGCAAGTTGAAAACAAAGATTAAATTAGCTAAGCCAGCGTAATTAATCCTTCGCCATCACCGACTTCTCTGAAAACATTTTCTGTCAGCCGCCATGCTCTCTGCCTAGCTACCTTCGTTGTCCCTGCTTCTTTTAAAATGGCATGCTACCGATTCTGTGTCTTTTGAACCTTATAGTTGAAAAGCTGTCTGCAAACAGAAGTAGCAACAGATCAATTATTTTTGCTTCTGTTGCATATAATATGAATCAATTTTCCCCTCTTTTGACATAGTCTGGATCCTTCTTTCTTGTCCTATGACACTTGGACTTTCTCCCACTTGACTCATAGCCAAAGGGACGCAAGGAAAAGTTAAACAAAACCCGGAGCTTGTCATCATAAGTACAACATTATTTGTTGCGTGAAATGCAACAACTTTGCTTCCTCTTCAACTCTTCTTTTTGGATATTTTTGGAGGTATTATGCCTCTGTAATTTTAAAATATGGGTTCCAAGACAAATAAGAAGAAACAAAAAGGAAATTACTACAAATGCAAATATACTTGATTTAAAAGAGAACCCTTGAATTTATTTGTCAAATTTCTAGAATCAAGAGCCTAGTTTCTTAAGAAGGTGGGTTGGTTACATTTTCTTGTTTAGTCGACCCTTCACAAAAATGGGTTCGTACTGACTTCAGCGTTTTACAGTATCTTTTAGTGCTCCTTCTTCCATAGCATAGACGCTTTTAACAGGCGAAGTATTAGTTTGTATTACCATGGTCTTCAACTGCATCTCTCCAAATTCAGGACCTGTTTTCGCCAATTCTTCAGCTCCTGCATCTGGCTGAGGCAAGCATTTTGTTTCCTTCCTTCTTCCCCACAAAAACGAGTACAGTCCAAATATTATCATAACCGTGCCAAGCACGCTGAAAACATGGATCAATTGTAGGAATGTGAGGGATTATAATTTATAGCATTGCTTTGAAATAATGAAAAACGACATATATATATATATATATGAAATATGCAAGTCAAAGGATAGTAATCTCTGGCAAAGTAGTGGGAAGGAAAGTACAAATCATACATTCCCAGTCTTATCTTTTCACCAAGTACTAAAGATTCTGATATGGCAACAAATATTAGGGCCAGCGGGTTGAACATAGGGGCGTAAGTGGGGCCTCGCTTAGCAATCGAAAATGCAAGTAAGCAGAATGTTGCAGCGGTACTTAGTGCTCCCTGCACAGGTAAACTCTCATATATCTTAAGTATCGTTGGCCTAATAATTTACAAATTTCAAATCTTAGGTCTTCCTTGAAAAAAATATATATATATATGGAGAAATGTGTCAGTATTGAGCAAAAAAAAAGAAATGTGTCAGTAACTTTACCGAGTAAACTATGGTAACTAGCTGCAAGTTCCACTCTAATCTCCATGCAGCCTTGCGCCTGTCTAAGCACAGGCCTAATGCTGCTGATTGTATGGACGCCATGATGCATGTTATCAGCGTTGCCCGGTATTTTGATGGAAATACTTTGAGCAACTTGACCTGTTTGAAAGTAGCTTGAAACTCATGAGCAGATTAAAGAGACCCAAAAAGAAAAAAGGACTGAGTCGACTGCCATTGTAGCATTAGGAGGAATTATTTGATTTAATTCACACCTGCAATATATACCAAGTAGCGTAGCACAAGCAACTACCAACAAGCATGAAAGTTCCACGAGTCCAGTGAGACTTGGATACGTCCATGGCAGCAGGTCTGTGAAAATTATGATCATGAACGAGATAGAATGCTTTTCCCTTATAGAGACTAGTTGTCAGCGCACCTCCCACGCACAAAATTGCACCCACAATCTTAATTTTGCCTGCTCTGGTGCCTAGTCCTAGCTTCTCTATTCTACAAACACGAAATGAAACCTTTAATACAGTATTTCACAATTTCTTATTCGGCCTTCCTGCACTGTACCCATTAACAACAACCAAATCTTACCGGAAAACGATGGAGAAAACGAAGGTGACTATTGGAATTATGTTGAGGAAGTTGGTGGAATACGTAGCTGTGGTGTCTCGAAGACCGTAATAGAACAGTCCCATGGCCGCTGTTATCCTGCATGATCATGTGCTACATCAAGAATTAGATTTTCTTTGTTTTTTAGAAAAAAAAAACTGGAAATTAATTAAGTAAATGATTTCTGAATTAGCCATTCTAAATATGAGGTAGTCAAAGGGCTGCGAATGCCAGATATGACTGATGGGCATGCAATTCTGAAGGAATCCTAATTTATTGAATCAAAGCAAAGATTGGGTTGAATACCTTTCGATCGACTCAAACCAGGAGGGAAGCAATTTAAGCCTTTTAGTTACATTTTACAATACTTTTGGTCCTAGTCCCTATTGTTTTGATTCAATCCTGAAAGTATATTTATGCAAAGGTTAAGATACTTTAATGAAATTCATATCTTTTAGGCTTCTTTATCTTTCGGCAGATAATTGGAAAGCAAAGTTCCTCGTGGCTCACATCATTAGAAAAGTAGTAGAAACCAAACAGAATAAATCTACTTAAAAGCAATCAACCTTTGTCCCTGCTTTATCTAATCTAGCGTGTCTTAATTATCCACGATAAATACAACGTCTGAGAAACAGAGAAAGTGAAAGACATAGGAAGATTGAATAAAAACAAAGAAAAAAAACTAGCCCACGGAACCTAATTAAAGCCACTATTAACCATCATTTAATTGGTTCCAATAGGGCATCACTAGATAATTAATATCCTCTGCTTAATCAAACAGCTGTCTCTTATTAATTTGCAGAGGAAGAGCCTCGTTAGAAAGGTGAATCGAAGCAAAAAAAAGGAAATATATTTTCACGCGGAAGAGTGACCAAACCGCATGATTCTGATATACGCATGCTTTCATATCTTTATTACTTTGTTAAAGGAAAAAATGAAAAGGAATGTCTGGTTTTATGCTTTTTGATGAATGGCAAATATGTAAGCTTTGATTGTGAACTGCCAACAACCCTTGTGCAAATTATAGTATGCAAAACCGAATTTTCATTATTGGTGCTTCATTAGAGCTCTATAATTAATAATATTTATTATCTAATTGTCTTACTGTTTGCTCATTAATATGCCAGAGAAAGTAGTGCAAGTCATTTGGAATGATGAAAAGAGCACTTCTATACCATCTTAAATTCTCCCATCGTGAGGCTTTTGATGTTTGCTATTTAAAACGTACATCTCTCGCAACCATGTTAATCAACCAAACGGGCAAAAATGTAAAGGAAAGAAGGCATAAGTTGCTTACCCTGTCAAGGCATTGATGAAGAGCCAGAACCAAGCCGACCAGGTCAGCTTCTTTGTATTATCTCTGCAGCCATGGCACAAGCAGGCACAGGCATGTCAAAGATGTGGGGAAAAAAATGTAATACTATTAACTAATTAATTAAAAACATATAGTACTGCTATGTATTGACAAAAGAAGTTAAAAAACGAAAGATGGAAGAGCAAATTAACCTTTCCAGGAAGAAAGCAAAAGGAGCAACACAAAGAGCAGCGACTATATGTCGATAGGCCATGAGTGCAAAGATGAAGGTTCCTTGACTCAGTATGACTTTAGAAAGCAGCTGCTGCCCTGTTGCAAAGACTTGGACCGCCAACATGCTCGCTACCATCTGTGACCACCCCAACCATTTCCTCAGTGTTCCCATTACGGCCATTCTCTTTAAACGACAAATAATCTTCTAACTTCTCTGTAAAGCGAGTGAGAGAGAGGGATATGGCTAAAATTACATGAAAAAAGAGATCGGAAACGGCTGTTGCCTGTCTGTTCTGCTGAATATGTATTTCTCTGATTCCCAATAAACATAGAAGAGTCAAAAGGGTCTTAGAGGAGAAATAAATGCGGGGAGCATTGGAAAATCCAATGGGCTAGAGCTTCTTACAGATGCCATGCCATATATTCGGGGAGTCAGGGAATTCTGCGTCAGAGATTGGCATACTGATAAACTCTTTTCTGGCAAGTCTGCATGGGCATTTCCTAAATACTACCGTACTATAATAGCAGCATTTATTTGTTTAGACATCTTAATTGCCCTCCTATATATGGCTCTGCCTAAGCACTCGTTTACTTAACGCTTGTGGACACCGTATGGTAAAACTTTCTGTCTAGTGCCCGTTTCAACTCTTGGATTCTATACATAAATGGCACCTAAATATATATCAATGAACAAATCCCTTATGGTGAAGCCCACTTAGGTCCACCACAGGTCTTTCCTTTTCTGTAATTGCCACGACCAGTTTTTGGTATCAAGGATGTGCAATTTTATTTATATAATTATGTAGTCATTAGTAAGGAATCCACTAAAATCGACCAGATAAGAGTATTATATAGGAGGAAGTATTTCAAATGGCCACACATCCATTTTAATTTTATGTTAATTTTTTCTTCTTCTTTTTTCCTTCAAAAACCAAAATGGAGTCCTCCTGCTTTTCTGATGGAAGTCCATTTGCTTTGACACAACATCCCACAGATTAAGTGACACAACATCCCACAGATTAGGTTTTTGACTTGTTGATCCCAAAACCATCAGGGTTAATCCTTGTCTTAGAAATAAATTCTGGTCTGGAAGCAACTCCTGCCAAGAGTGGCAAGCCAACCCCCCTTTTTTATCATGCCTGGCTGCCTGCTGTTATAGAAATGGCTGGAATATGTTCTTTACACGTAGAGAAACCTGGAAAGACCATCAGTGACCTTCCATTTTCGTTCCTTGAACAGGTATAATAAATACTCGAAGGGATCATAAATGGCATCTAGAAGCATAGCTGGCAAGACAAGCTAAAAAGAAACTTTTTAAATTGATGAATATAGTAGTATATATCTTGTCCTGCAAATATGTTGCAAATGAAACTCTTATGGCATGCAACATACGCATGAGAGTGTGACCGTTGGAAAAATGCAAATGCACATGCCCAGAAAATCAGTCGATAGCTGGATACAGCTGGTGGTTGCTTTAATTTTAATAAATAAATTTAGATCTTAGAAAGAGAGGAGGCTCTTTTCGCAATCTGAATAGTCAGCCATCAGCACCCAAAACAAAACTAGAGCTGGTAGCAAGCGTGCCTTGATTTCTTTTCAGGCTTTCAGCCCACACCCCACAGTATATTCATAACAAGAAGTTCATTACAGCAAGAATTTGACATTGAAAATTAGGGCAACTGATCATTGTTTTTGCACAGTAAAGTTGAAAATTTAACACAATTATTATTTTTGATAATTGATGAATTTGTATTTAGTGGCTCTCGCCAAAGCTTCAAATTTTTGAGATGAAGATAGATAAACTTGGTTTCTTAAATGTTATACTAACATCAATATGTCAGGCACTGCGATTCAGCCTTATTCTTGAAGGGGCTCAGTTCCTGAACTTTATCAGCTTGTGTTTGAATTTAGTTTCAGTCGTGGGCCCACACACTTTGCATAGATGGGCCACATTCCAGAGGGTTTTGGGTTGGCTGACAGATGAAGCTCACGCTAGGATTTATTGGGTCCTTCTCCCTCCAACTCACAGTAGCCCATCCTTCATCGCCACCTGGGCTCAGGCGACTCAAAAAAGGAAGACCATACAATCGTCGTAGACCATGGAAATCCCGGAGTGGGTGAAAATGAGGTCCATGCCAAGGTTATCGAGGTGGAGGGCCCACGTGGCAAGCCATTCTGTAACTTCAAGCATCTCAACCTGGATTTCCACCTCGTTACCGACGAGGCCACTGGCAAGCACAAGCCTAAGATCGAAGCCTGGTGTGGTTCTCGTAAGACCGCCGCCGCCGCTATGCCAACTGCTCTTAGCCACGTTGACTATCTCATAGCATCACCATTCACCAAGGGATACGGCTGTAAGATGCGTTTTGTTTCTATGCTCATATTCCTATCAATGCCTGAATGTATTCAATTGAATATGTTCCGCTTTTGGGTCGTTTTTGGTGACGAAAGTGGATATGCCCAAAGGGTTACCATTGCAAGGTCTGAAAAGGTTTAGACGAGATTATATTGGATGGAAATGGCATTGAGTCCATTTCACGATCTGCTGCCCTCATTAACCAGGTATAAGATATACGACAGTCTCCATTTATGTGTACCATGCATGTACATGTCTTACATTAACTCATAACTACTTTCAGTTTGCTGACATGGCAATTTGTGTTTTTGGGACAGAAATGCCATGTCTAGAACAAAGAAATTCGGAAGTTCCTTGATAGCATGTATGTTAGTGAGAAGGGAACAATCCTAGAGCAGTACTGATGAAGGTGACAACGATGTTGGTCTTTAGCTTTAGCGTTTCTTGTTTCAGTGTTTTTTTTTTTTACTGATGACATTTGGGTAATTGTTTTGAAGAAAGCTTTTGCAGTTTTGAAATTAGATCAACAGATTTGTGCTACAAAAGCATTTTTTCTTTGTCAAATGATTTTGTTGGATGCAAATATATAAAATACCTGTTAAACATGTGGCTTTCTATTTGACATTCGATGGAGTTTTGAATGTTGGTGGATCATGGATGTGTATTCTGTTTGCTTGGTGGACTTCATGTTGGGTGGTTTGGTTGCAGAACCAGCTCTGTTTCTTTCATCCTTCTGTCAGGGGCAATGTGAGGCTTGTCCATGGCTGAAGTGATGTGTATGATAACGCACCGTTTTTGCAATGCACCTCCTCGATGTCTAGTAAGAATTCTCCCCGTCCTTTCGACACAACCAACCGACCGCTTCATTTGGTCCCATTTGCATTAAGTTTGTCTTGGCTCACCGGAAGGTAGAAATTAACGCTTGTGAATATGAAAGCACCGAATGTGCCAACTATTGGTTTTTTATTGCAATCGGCCATTTCATCACTGCTTATAAAAGCACCGAATATTTTAGCTAAATAACCGAGTACCATTTTATTAATGCTTCTGGTTTTCCTCTCTGCCCCATTGTTGATATTCCATACATCAGAAATTGACTTTTGTAATAAAGTTCAATAATAACACGATTGGATTTCTAAAATTATTAAGCTTGTCTGGGTGAGCATTCCACATAAGCTATCTTAGCATTTACTAAGTAATTACCAGTTATAGGTTTTGGTATCTAATCAAATAGCTCAATAATAGAGAAAGAGGGCCCAAGGCAAGTGACTGAGAAACCTGTAATCACCTCATAAAAATCATTGGCTACGTGCCCCACAAATAATGCAAATCTAAAGGCTATGAAACATACTCATGTGGTCCTCGTCAGACTTGTGAATTGAGATTGTTGTAGGCAGCCAGCATTGTTCTCTTTCAGGTATTTGTAATTATCTTAAACTAATCATTTGGGGTGAGTATTATGGCTCACAGAAAGGGACAAACGACAATCTATTCATATTTTGTAATGAAATTCTAGACTGGTATTGGAGGAGATGGTGTAGCCACATTCGGATAAGTTACAACGACGTCTTTCTTGGAGCATATCTTTAGTCTCCCCACCCCCAAAGTGAAAAGATACCTCGCTGGGCTGGAACTTTTCCTTAGCAGAGTCTAATCACCATTAACGAGCCAGCGAGAATTTACAGCTAAAACAAAATGGCCATAAGAATTTCTTCTTCCTCTGTGTTCCCTGTTGCCTGTTTTTGGCACTGGTTTGCTTTGTGGTCATGGTCACTTTATCTTCTAGCTTTGGTACCGTACCCAACTTTAGTTGATTCCTCAGGTACAGCAAGTGCACCTGTAATAAACGTTACCAAACACATCTCCTTCACAAATTTCAGCCTTGATGATCCCAGAGTAACATCCGATGTGAAGCTTCTAGGGAGTGCGAAGCTTTCAATGGAGAAAGGTGCTGTCCAAATTCCAGACGAATCAGATGGCTTTGATCTGAGACATCTAGCAGGGAGAGCCATTTACTCCTCGCCTGTCCGCCTGTTTGATCCACACACCAGCACCCCAGCATCCTTTCAATCCACCTTTGCTTTTCAATTTAGTAATTCTTCTAACGCAAGCAGAGATATGCTTAATCACGGTGGCAGCGGTCTCACATTTATCATAGTCCCTGATGAGTTTACAGTAGGAAGACCTGGACCATGGCTAGGCATGCTTAATGATGCCTGCCAGGAAGATTATAAAGCCGTTGCTATTGAATTCGATACCCACCAGAATCCTCAATTTGGAGATCCAAACGACAATCATGTGGGCATTAATCTTGGTAGCATTGTTTCCACCACAACCATCGATGCATCAGATTTTGGGGTAATCCTTAATGATGCTTCAGTTCACCGAGCTTGGATTACATATGACGGTCCTCGGAGATGGATGGACATCCACCTTGGATCAGATGGCCGCGATTACCCCTCTAAACCTATCTTCTCAGGTCCTCTTGATCTCTCTCCTCATCTGAATGAGTACATGTTCGTTGGATTCTCAGCATCCACAGGCAACATGACCCAAATTCATAAGGTACTCTCCTGGAACTTCACCGCAACTAGCCAAGCTTTCCTTCGCATCCCTTCTGAGGAAACATGTGAGGGTGAGATCATCCTCCAGAAATCTGATGCTGGTCAAAGTACGCAAAAGAGATCTAACAAAGAACCGCCCATCAGTTTCTTGATTTTTATTGCCGTAGCTGTGCTAGCTTTGGCTATCATGATTGGTTTTTTCTGTAGCCGCAGGGGAAGAAATGACAATTCCAAACTTAATGCGTTGCCAGAGAAGACGCAACGACCCAGACCTCCCAACAAGCCCCGCCGTTTCACGTTTTCTGAGATTTCAACAGCAACTCGGAGTTTTAGCGAGGCAGAAATATTAGGTAGCGATGCCAGAGGCGTTTATTACAGAGGGAAGCTTCCCAATGGCTGTCAAGTTGCTATCAAAAGGCTGTCTGCTCAGTTCCTTAACTCACAGCAAGGCTTAGATAGACGACGGCTTCTCAAAGAAATTGGTGCCATGAGCCGAGTTCGTCACCCGAATTTGGTTCCCATCAGGGGATGGTGCCATGATAACCGCGAAATGATGATTGTGTATGACTTCTACACCAATGGAAGCCTTGATAAATGGCTGTTTGGCGTTGGGGTTCTTCCCTGGACACGACGTTTCAAAGTTATCAACGATGTTGCCGAAGCATTAAGCTTCCTTCACTCTAAGCAACTCGCTCACAAGAACATGAAAGCAAGCAGCGTCTTTCTTGACGTAAGCTTCCGAGCGGTTCTAGGTGATTTTGGCATGGTGCTTTCAGCAACCGAGTCAAGAAGGTTTGAAGCAACAGTTAGCCAAACGGCTGATGTTTTCGAATTTGGAATCTTTATGTTAGAAGTGGTTTCCGGACGGGGAAAGTTAGACCCCGAAGTGAATCAAGAAGAGAGGGATTTGGTAGATTTTGCCTGGAGAATGCACGTGACAGATGAGAAGGTGAAGGTAGTAGATGGGAGGATGGGCTCACTGGTTAATTTAGAGCAAGCCATTCGGGTATTGGACATTGGGCTACTTTGTACACTAAACGAGTCTAAAGGAAGGCCTACCATGGAGGAAGTGGTCGAGTGTCTGAGCATGGAAAGACAAATTCCCGAGCTGCCAGCTAGTCGACCCGTGGCCTTGTTCCCTTACAATAGTGCCACGGGTCTTTGCACTGGATACTCTTGCGGCCCATTCAAGTGACCTATGTGTCACTGAACTTTTGATCTATGCAAAAGGATGCATTTAAGGCAATTCTTGAGCTAGTTCTGGTTATGAAGCCAGAATGGTTATTAGGATGTATAAAATGTAATAGTAATTGAATTTAAGAGACATTCCATAAACTAGTCAACTTTATCTATTACATTGCTTCTGCATCAAAGCCTACTGTATATTCCTTAGTTGAGAAAAAATTGCAACTTGAGCAAAGTATTGAGTTCAATTTTAGTAAGTTTGAAGATCCAAATTATGGGGAAATAAGTTTGGATATTAATTGGTGAATATGAATATTTCTTAGGTGACGTACTGACGTTGATGAGAATTAGCAAGAGAATAGAACTAGAGAGAAAATATTCTTATCTTATATAGATCAATAAAAAACATGCATAATATATATAAAAAATATTTAAATTATTTACAAAATTTTGAATAATCTTTTATTCATGCTATTAAATTTTTATATTTTTATTTTAAATTAAATATATTTTTATTTTAAATTAAATATATTTTTATTGCATCATTCCTTTCTTTCTATTTGTGTTTCTTATGTCTTTTCATAATTATGTGAGAGATTTTAGTTTATGGGGATTTGGACCGATAAGCTCTAATTTGTACAATAGATAGGGGTGGCTTACCTAAATTGGGTGTCGTGTTGGCTTTGTGCATACTAAAAAAGTGGTTGATATAAATGGAGAGTATGAAGAAAAATCTAAAGTAGCGTTTGCTATAAGAAAAGTGAAAACAGATCTTTTAATGTGTTCAATTAAATTATATTACAGTATTTATTTTATAACAGACCACTGTAATATAAGATTACAAACATAATCACATTACAGTCAATGGATGTAATATGATTGTAGTACAAACCAATGCAATCACTGCAACACATTATCGCACTTTGTAATATTTTTAAAGATAATTTTACCTTCAACTTTATTACCTTATTAAAAATAGTTTATAATATATAATTAAAATAAAAAATATTAAAATAAAATATAATAATTAATAAAAATTAAAACAAAATAAAAATAAAAAATTAAATTTATATAATATAGGTAAAACAAAATTAAATATAAATATATAATATAAAAAATAATTAAAAATTAAAAAAAAATATATAAAATTATAATAATAATGAAAATAAAATATATGACATTAAAATATATTTAAGAGATGATATTTATAAAAATTAAAATATATATAAAATATAATAAAATGAAATAAAATATATGACATTAAAAAATATTTAAGAGATGATATTTAATAAAAATTAATAATAATAAATATAAATATATTAAACTTGTATTTTAATAACTAGGGATAATTCTAAAAATTAACATTACATTCTTAGCAAAGTACTTATAAACCAAACGCTGCAATGTTAACTTCGCTGCATTTTAATCATTATTTTACTTGTACACCAAACATTATAATGTTATGTTCCTTGTAATCACATTACATTGTAAAGTACCAAACGCCACCTAAATGGCTAGATGATCAGACATATCATGTGTAAAGCAAATGAGAGAGCAAATAATCTGACAAAGGTCGCACTATGCAATAGCCAGTTGCAACCGAGCAATCAACTGACTGGATGACCAGTTGCCTTGTCTGCCAATTGGCTCGATCGTCGAGGGGACTCCCTTCCCCTCAAATCGACCCCTCACCCTTTTTGTTTTTATTTTTATTTTTGGGATAAAGGTTATCCTAACTTTCATTAACCTTTTCCAAATAACTGGCCAACCAACCTCCCTCAATAAACCCTAACTTACCTTATTAACTCACATATTCATAGCCCCTTCGTTTGTTGTCGTCGATGTCACTCTAGACCGCTGCCAGCCACCTATTGTTGCCTTAATTGGCAGCAACTAGCAAGGTAAACTATAGATTTTTTTTTTGTTTTGTGGAAATAACAACAAAGAGAAAGTTTGAGAGATTATGAATACTATTTTTTTAGTTAAAATTCATGTTAAAGAGAAAATATGTCAAAGATTATAAGTATTATATATTATTTTTTACTTATAAAAAATAATATTAGTACAAATAAATATAATTCCACAAGATTAGAAAACAAGAGAAAAAGGCAATTTACAAAAGGTTGAACAAAAAAACCCAAATCAGCTTAAGTCAACTCAAATAGGTCCAAGTCAACCCAAGGTAGCTCACCTCAAAAATCGATCTAAGACTTATCAAATCGAGATTGGGTAAAATCGACTAAAATCTATCTCTTACAAAGTTCGATCCTAACGGTTCCTAAAATAAATTTTTTTGATCGGATTTAGGTAAAACCGAATCAACAATCTAGAAAATTGAACCGTACTTAACCTTAGGCAAAGGAAAAGGTGTAGCTACTGTCTGATATTCTATGTATTTTCTAGATTTGCAATGAAAAGTTGTTTTGCTATACTTCTGAACCTATTGTTGCATAAATTGTATGCATGCTTTACTAGATTTAGATTTCTTGGAAAAGAAATACAAAAACAAGCCCACTATTTGCTCAAAATTTTGTATCTACATAACATAGAGTAGGGAATAGGAGGTATTCGAGAGTGCAAAACAATATTCTTTAACCTTTATCCCTTACTGACAATTTTTTCATACAGGTTAAGTCCAATCTTTAGATGATCGTAGGTGATGGGAGTTGTGTAAACGTTTTTGGCAAGATATGTGGCTTAATTGCTTGAGAGTAGCATCTTGATGGAGCTCTTTCCTCGAATTTATGTTTTATCACATAACAAAAATGGCTACATCAATAAGTTTGGTTCATGGGAAGAGGAGAAATGGGATTGGAGCATTGAGTTGATGAGGCATCTGTTTGGATAAGATGAGCAGCAATGGGAGCAATTTAAGCAATTTAAGGCCACTATTGGCATGTACTGTTTGTGCAAAAGTTTGGAAGACTCACTTGCATGGAAAGGCTATTAAATAATTGTATGATGGAATAGGGTTTTGATTTTAGGATTGTGAGGAAAAGTTGGTTAATGCTCTAAGGAATTGTATAGTTTAAGGGACAATTATCTGGATTTTATTTGTAAAGTTAGGTAACGAATTTTTGTGTGCTTGAATGGATGCAGTCTTATCAGGAAATAATGGATAGATATACCTGTGGTTTTTTAAAGTGTTTGTTTATGTTTCACTCGAAAAGAATGTTTCACTTTTTATTATTAATGAAAATTTATAAATTATTAAAAAAAAACTCTTATTGATGATTATTATTAGTTAAATTGTTATTTATTATTTTATATCATATAATATTAATATGATATGTTAACATATCGTAATAAATGATGATATGACATACTGATATGATTATATAACATTTTTATTTACTTAATATCACGTGATATAAGAAATGACAAATATAATTTTAATTAATGCAATTAATAAAGTGTTAATCATAAAAATTTATTTAAAAAAATAAAAATACAATAACTTAATTAAATATAATAAAAATAAAAATATATTTAAAAATTTAATATAATTTTAAAATTTTTTTAAAATATTTATTTAAAAAATTATTGCTGCTGGTAGGTGGAGCGCTTTGAAGAGGCTGAAAACCTTGTGGGTTGGACTTTTAAGAAAAGAGTCAGGTAAGGCCCATTAACTCCTCGTCGGAGGAAAACGGTGGAGTGAAAAACGGACAGTGAGACTTGGAGAAAAAGATTTTGATTTCCAATTCAAAGGTTCTACTAGGGCTTTACGCCCCCCGGGCCGTCTTGAATCTGCCGAGAAACAAACAAAAAGGAAAGCACAGAAATAGAAGTCAATCCCTAAAAAACCGAAATACAGAGCAAGAAAAAGAAAGAGTGAAATGAATAAGATGTGGAGAGTGAATTCCCTGAACAACGCCGTGAGGACTCTTAGATATCTCCAGGAAACCTCCTTCTCAACTTCAGTTATCCGGCAGCATTCTTCCTCCTCTCCACGCCTCTCTTCTCCGCCGTTCGCCATTGCCGTTCGTCACCTCCGCGCTGGTCGCGATCCTAGCATCAGGTATTTTAAAATTTTATATTTATACTCTATTCTAAAATGCCAAAAAAAAAGAAAAAAAACCAATTCAACTCCCATTTCTAACTTTTTGTTCAATTTCTAGCTATGAAATTACGCCTCCAGTTAACTGGGGCGTCCGTATCGTACCGGAGAAGAAAGCCTACGTGATAGAAAGGTTCGGGAAGTATGTGAAGACGCTGCCGTCTGGAATACATTTCCTAATCCCATTCGTGGATCGAATTGCCTACGTTCATTCCCTCAAGGAAGAGGCTATTCCTATCCCTGACCAATCTGCTATTACCAAGGACAATGTCAGCATTCTCATTGACGGGGTTCTTTATGTCAAGGTCTTTCTTCCCCTGTCTACTTTGCAATTTGCTCGATTTTTCAGTGTTTGGTCTATATAATTTGCCTTCGGAACTTTGCAGATTGTGGACCCCACGCTTGCCTCTTATGGCGTTGAGCACCCAATATATGCCGTCATTCAGCTTGCACAAACAACCATGCGTAGCGAGCTTGGTAAGATTACCCTCGACAAGACCTTTGAAGAGAGAGACACTCTCAACGAAAAGATTGTGGTTCGTTTTCTTTCTCTCCTTCCATTTTTTTTTTTTGAAATTTAACTTTATTAAATTAGCATAGAATATATTGAGTTCAGAGTAAAATTCTAGTTCTAGAGCAATAATGGGAAAAGTGGAAGATAGGCCGAGGCACTCTACAAGTCTACACCACTTCTGTATCTCTTTATATGAGCTAAATGTAACTATTTGTGCCAACAGTTTGGGAGGAGGCATTGTGAATAACTCTATTTACAATTTGTTTACTTTTAATCTGGGATAAGAATGTTAGGCTTCATGTGAAATATATATTAAAATTTGGAGGCTGGATATTGCTGTTTATCATTTAACATTTGATTAACTTATATCTTTTCACACATTTTATTTCTATGGGAAGGCTAAGGTATCACTTTGATGGTTTTTGCCCAGTGATGTCGAGTTAAAAATTTTCCTCAGTAGAATGGATAGGTTGATGTAGATCAATTAGTTTACCATGCTTGACCGCTGTGTGTAATCTTGTGAATAGCAATCTTGTGCCTGCTATTCACAAGTTTATGCCTGATGCGTTATATTTATTTTAGCTAGTCTGTTAAATGCTGTGATAATTTTCCACTGACAAATGATTCTGGAAGTGCCAAAAAAAGTTGGGAAACCAACCCCCACACCCCCCTCTAAAAAAAAGAAGATGATTTTCTTGAAATGGCATGAGTGTTGCAGGAGGCCATCAATGTGGCTGCAAAAGACTGGGGCCTCCAATGTCTTCGTTATGAGATAAGTATGGGTCGTTTTAGCCAATACTTCCTTTTTGTTAGTGTTTATGTTCCCAATACATCCTTCTTATATACTTCACTTCCTTCTCATCCCCAGGGGATATATCTCCACCACGTGGAGTGAGGGCGGCTATGGAAATGCAAGCAGAAGCAGAGCGTAAAAAGAGAGCTCAAGTTCTTGAATCTGAAGGTAATGCAGTAATTTCCAATTTTTTTTATTTTCCTTTTTTAAGTACCACCATCTAATCACACTATGCTATCTGCTTGTAATAGTTGATTTTGGTGACGTGATTTATTCATAAAAGTTAATTCTACCAGGAGAAAGACAGGCCAATATAAATATTGCTGATGGTAAGAAAAATGCTGTGATCTTAGCATCTGAAGCTGCAAGAATGGATCAAGTTAACAGAGCACAAGGTTAGTGATTATCAAGTTGTAAACAGTCATTATGTTAAAAAATGATGGAGCTTTATCTGAACTGGTAATCGAAGCTGATGTGGGTGATTAATTTTGACTATTTATTTTATCATGAACCCTTCTCATACGGACAACCCAAACTGATTGAGCAACCCACGGATTTCTTATTGTTCTTGTGTCTTGTTCTGGCTTTGTCACTTCTTCCTTCACGTCTTCTATTTTTCCTTCTTAAAAACATTCATTTATCAGGTGAAGCGGAAGCCATCCTTGCTAGAGCACAAGCTACAGCTAAAGGAATTGCCTTGGTATCTCAGTCTCTAAAAGAAAGTGGTGGAGTCGAGGTGAGGTTCTTCCATCTTTGTCGTCAAATGTGTGCATGAAAGTTGAGTTCTATATTTATATTATACCGTCCAACCTGAAACTATTAGAGGATGATTCAAACAATATTTCCGTATCTACCTTTATGGTATCGTGACTTTCTATGTGACGGAAGTTCTTAAGCATGTTAGCTTCACTGTGAATCTTATAAATTTCAAATAGTCTATGCCTAAGCGGTCTTTGTTCCTGGTGTCTGCACTTGTATAATGACTTGATACTCTTTAGTTGTTTGGATTTTGCATATATAATTAATCTTAAAAACTTGATTTAATTGTTTGGACAACTTTGTCTAGATCTTAGGAGATAGTCTATTTTTAGTCTATTTTTGTGTGCTGTAGGAGAGAATCATTAGGTTCAGAGAGAGAAAACCCTTCTTTGAGTTTATTCCTGAAAGAATTTGTTATTTAAAGGAAAAAGTCTATGTTATATTTAGCATTTCTGATTTGTGGTCGTATATGAGTTGTAAATTTTTAAGGCTGGAGTCATTTTTAGATGAGAGGTACTGCTATCATGCTCATTTCTAAGTAAAAATAAGACTTGAAATTATGGTCTCTTTTGCAGGCAGCAAGTTTGAGGATTGCAGAGCAATATGTTCAAGCCTTTAGTAATATTGCCAAGGAGGTGAAAGGAAGATCTCAAACTTGTGTTCCGAGTTTTAATGTTATCAATATTTATTCATTCTATCATGTTGTTTGAATTGAACTTGCACTTTCTGCTCATTTGTTAGGGCACAACAATGTTGCTTCCTAGTTCTGCTGCAAACCCTGCCAACATGATTGCCCAAGCTCTCACTATGTACAAAAGCCTGGTCAGCAATGTTTCTACTGATGGTTCTCATGTAAACATTTCCCCTGAGATATCCAGAACCATAAAGGATGGTCCCTCTGGAGAAACTGAAGGCGAAACCCTAAACCCCAGAGTTGTGGACACGATGGCTACAAATCATGCTGGTCATACAGGATTTTCACTTCAGAGCTCCAAGGAAAAAGAATAAAACTGATTTAACCAAAGACCAATTAAGTGAAACCAGATTGTGTTTCTGGGCTCTGTTGCATGGGGACTACTTTGATTTTAGTTAAAAGTTTCTGAATATTTGAAAAAGAAAGGCAAAGGATTTAGGCGATTGTAGAATTGATAATAGGATGCTCATTCATTTGTTAAGTGTTTAGAGCGGCCATGTAATATAGGCTGGATACCATTTTCAGCCTCGAGAATCCAATCCAATGAAGGTTAAAACATTTTCAGGACACTGGCGTTGCCCTTATCTCTCTGCAGTTAAAACTCTTGCGCATAATCGGAGTACAAGTGACATGGGCTGCACGGCCGAAGGAAAAGACCTGGGAGTTGGGCCATTGTTCGGAAAAAAACTATCATTTTTAAATTTACAAGAGATTTTAGTCACAACATCGACGGCCTGCCAATGCCACACAATATGAACCATGGCTTCTGTTCTGTTCTGCAGACTCACGGCAATGAGTGCTAACCAAAAATGATGTAGTAGCTGTTTTCCATCGAAATAAAATAATGTTCACAAACTCAACATAGAACATGTATAAATATATCTAAACAACCTACACATAGTATAATTCAATCGGCTACACTAGCATAAATCCCAGTTCTGAATCATTAATCCAACTAAGATCGACTCTCGGTTTGTTGCCAATGATAACACATACAGTCGCATATAATAGAATATCGGAAAAAGTTTGCAAGTTCTCACTTGTTATACTTTGAATGGATTTGGTCCTATTCTAGGCCACAAAGTCGGGTGAATGAAATCCAGAAAAGGAAACTGTTTTCATGGTAAGCCGGAACTGCATTACTTAAAAAAAAATTCCAAATGCAATAGAAGCTACTTGTGATGGATTCCAACAACCAGATGATCAGAAGCGTGAAGTTCATCGCAATTCACAATCATGATAGTATCAAAACAATTATTCACAAGTTAAAACGCCATTATAAAACAAAGAGGAATTAGCAAAAATCTTAGTTCTTAAACAACTAGACATGAAACAAGGTTGAACTGAACTATTAAGAGATGAACAGAGTAACAATGATGGACAGGAAATGAAAAATCTAATGCTTTACTTACATAAATGCTCACGTATACACTTGTCATCCGTAACTTTCAAAAAAAAACTGACGATTTAAAAAGAGCTCTCTTTGTTCTTGTTAAAGAAAAAAAGGGAAAATCAGATGAGGCCGAACAAAACAGAGAAGCCCAGAACAATGAGCCAAAGTATATGCACCAATAGCAGAGCCTGACCAGGGAAAGATCCGTTTCCACCACTATTACCAACCTCGCAAAATCCAATTTTGACAACTTTAGCCCCCGCGCAATGAGCATCGGCACAGCCGCACCAATAGGTAACTCCATCGTCCCCGCAAACGGGGTCAGCCCTGAAGCAGTTGATAGGACATGAACTGGGTTGGGGGGTACTGTCGCATGGATCGGCCTCGGAACGCAATCGAGTGGCGGATAATTGCTGCTGTGATCCGCTGGTGGAGGAAGAGGAGAAGAGAACGACGAGGAGCAGCAGCAACAGCGACAATGCGGATTTATGGAATGGGATTGGAAACGACATCGCCACGATTGATTGATTGACTGATCTCAAACTCGATAATGGGTTCTAGGCGAAATGGATAAAACGATTTATAAGAATCTTAACAGCGAAGGCGAGCTTTCCTTTTGGGAAATGGAAAAGGGAAGCTGGCCTTGTGTTTCTTTTCTTTCCCGACTCAGACGAAGCGAAATAAGGGTGGGCAGAAGAAAGGAATTCAGGAAATCCAGGCCTCATCCTTGCCTCGAAAGCAACGAATTTCCCTTACATGCACGTAAATGAGGAATGAGGAAGACAAGAAAAGGAAAGGGGATCTTTGTCGTCAAGCTGTCAAAGCGGCGGTTTCTTCGAGCACCCAAAACTCCGTAGAATTATAATGAACCTTTACATAATGCTAAGTATAATTATTAACAGGAGAAGAAAAAGAGGCCGCCAAAGCTGTCTAATTTATTTTGCGTTAATGGCTATAATGCTTTCCTACCGTTTCCGTTTTCTTCTTAGCTGTACAATGCCGTTTACAGGCATTCCTTCGATTATCGATGCCACCACCGACGTGTTAAACCACTTCATATGTTTGGCTTGCATCACGCCACGTGTAAAAATTAGTGTACTAGTATATTCTTCTCACTTTTATTGTAGAGATGCCTATAAGAGAACCTTGAACGGTTGTTATACAATAATCAATACTAGTGTACATTGAAACAAGTTGTAATGATTTGGTCGGCTGCTATTGCAAGATTTAACCAAAAAGTGACTACTCGTTATTTTTTTGTAACAAAAATACCTTTTAGAGTATATTTGGGTCAAAAAAAATTTAGGGTAAATTTCGCATGTTATTTTGTTCTCAACTTCTATTCGATGTTATATTATTAACTTTTTTTATAAAATTATAAAAATATCGTTAAATATAAATAAATAAATTAATTTTGAATTGAGAATATTTTAATAATTTTACAAGATAAAATTGACATCTAGCCTCATTTAAGAATATAAATTACCCATAAAGTGTTAATTGAGAAAAAATATTCACAAAATGTCATTTAGACAAAAATTAAAACTATAAAAGATGTAAGTGAAATTTTGTTTACACCGACAATTGGTTGCATCATGGTTTTTATGTTTTTTTTTTTGGAGGGGGTTGCTTGATTTTTTTTATTTTCATTTTTGGTTAATTCAAATAATTGAACAATGAATCTTTATTGAATACATAATATGACTCAATCTTTCCAAATCTTTTAAAAATTTAAAATTTTATTTCAACTATGAAAAACAATAAAAATAATTTTACTTTTGTGTATTTATTTATGTCATTATCATGAAAATAATTTCTTAAGCTGTTCATGAAAAGAGAAAAATCTATTATTCTGTTATTTTCTCTTTTTCTTTTTTAGAGTACATAAGTAATAGGTAAATTACTTTTTTGAAGAAAAAATTGTTAGAATCAGTATTATGAGTTTTTTTTAAGGAAATAAAATATGACATAATATTTTAAAAAATCCTAAACTATTTAAGAAATTTTAAATAAAATTTTATTTTTTATTACCTTTAATCAAGTTTTTATATTTTTATTTTAAATCAAACAAACCCTTAATGTTTAATTAAGTGTTAGTCAAAATGTCATTTTTATGTTACATTGTACTAACATGATTACGTGACATTTTTTGCATTCCACATCAACGGCATGTAAGTATAAAATAACAAATGATACTTTGACTAATGATATTTAATCAAACATCAATCATAAGGGTTTATATAACTCAAACTAAAAATATATAAATTTGATTAAACGCAATAGATGAATAAAAAGTTATTTAAATTTTTTAAAATAATTTAAATACTTTTTAAAATATTATTTCATACAAATATAAATAATTATTTTTTATAATAAATAGTTATGATGGTTCAAAGGATATTTTTTTTTTGAAAAGTTTTCTGAGGATATTACCATCACTAATTTTTTTTAGAATATTATCGTAGTTAATTTGCATATCAATAAAACATATACTATACTTTTTGTTTTTAGCATAAAATCTTCCAATTTTACGCTTGTTATCAATAAAATTTGATGAAGGGAAAAATATAAATAAAGTACTCGAAATATTTTAAGTATTGCATTGTTCCTCTTTGAATTCAGAGAAAACAGGACATTAAATAAAAGAATGTTTTATAAAGTAATATTTTCATTAACTTTAGTAAGTACTTATCAACACCTATTAGCAACCTTTTCAAGGAATAAAAGTAAACAAAATGCATATACAAGTTGATTTTTCTATAAATCTCAAAATTCAAAATTGAATTCTTGTTATCTTCATCAATCAGCCATCCAGTTGCAAATATTCTATTATTCTATTGTCCTTTAATGTTCTTCTTTGGATATTTTATATACTAATTATTGCAATATATTATGTTATTTTTTCAATATATGAAGATATATTGGATCTTAGACTACAACAAAAGCTAATTTTTCCTCAGAACATAAATCTGAATTTGAAACCTTTAACTTAAAATTTTGCTCACAAATTAAACGCACAAAGTGAGTATTTGCAACGAACTTGACCTGATAAATACAATGTATTGCGGTAAACTTAGTCCCATTTGGCAGTTGAACTTGTTTCCAATGAAAAGGGTTTCAAAAAAATGAAACTAACCCATGCATAGCGTTGAGTAAGCACCAGTTATACGCAAGTATGAAAAACTTTGAATAATATAAGCCGGTGCCTTTGGGGTGAGTGAAACATTTGTATTAAGCGGGAAGGCGTTGCGGAATTGGCCGAAGACGACCAGGTTGGTTTTCAAATCTTGATCTGCTAAGAAAAACTCCACTGGGCATAACTGCCACAACTAACTCCAACCGCTACATAATTGTCACCATCACCCTGGCAGGAAAGGCGCCAGAGAGAACTATGCTGTCTAGCCCATATACAAATTGACAAGGTCAAATGTAAGATAGGCCACAAAAACCAATTTGCCAGATTAAGCTTTTAACCCGAAATTGTCTGCTAAATATTAGAAGCTGCTCTGCCTATATTATGGAATCCCTTCCATTGCCTCCATTCCTTAGCCTCAATAGTATACTTGAATCTGAAGGCATATTAGAAAAAAGACAATCCGACCACCTCCAGAGAGACTCGCCCAATCGTCCCAAAAATTCCTGACCAATAATGGGAGGCTGTGCGAGCAGACCCAAGGAGTTTGACACCCCTGTCGAGGCTCCTGCCAGCCCTGAGAAGGCTCAGCTTGAGACCGCCGCTCAGGTAACACCTTGAGTTTCAATTAATGCATACAACCAGAGAATTTACAAGTGAACAGGAATGTATTGTTATTTCATACTAATATTCTTTTGTTGTCAACATATGAATGCAGGAGAACACTGATGGAGGTGAGCATCAGAATGAACAACCTTTGGTAGATCTTTCTGAACCAGAAAAGGAGGCTCAAAACTCGTCCTCTGACTCAAATGCTGCTACTGCTGCCGACTTAGTTTCTGCAGAGACTGCCAAGCCAGCAGAGGACGACGTTAAAGCCGCTGCCAATAATGCTGAGCATGAGGTTGAGGCTACCCAAGCTGACAAATCAATAGCTGCCCCAAGCAAGGAAGAAGATAAAAATGATGCACCTCTCGTCACTCTGTGATCGCGGATAGTTTTCCGCAGAAACCAGAGCCTAGCGGGTTCATCATACTTCAAAAATTGTTATCTGGAAGGTTGGATTGTATTTGTATCACCCTCGTGTATTGAGGTTCGTGGTCAGCTTCATTGCTACCACTGCTGGGACGTTTGTAACAATTAAAATCGGATCATGTCCATACATAACATGATCAATAAGGTGGTAAATAAATTATTGTTACTATACTCTTATTATAACGATTTTATTTTAATTTACTTAAAATTTAAAATCAAATGGAACATTCACAATATTTGGATGATGGCATATGTGTTATCATCATAAACATTAAAAATAAATCTGTCAACGAATTTATATATTATTTTAAATTTATAAATTTGATTCTTTTTGACTCAAGTGTAAGTTAAATATTTTAAAATAAAACTTAAATTTGAATAAATTTGAATTATTATTTTATCTGCATAAATTAATTTAAAATTATCATTATTTTATTTTAGATAAATTAAACATATATTTAAAAATTTTAACATAAAATATACTATTATTTTAATATAAAAGTCAGAAGTTTAGGAGTGGGCCTGAACAGGTCTGACTTAGCGGTCCAAGGTTTGGGCCAGAAAAGGCCTGGACAGAGCCCATGTGAGCCGGAAGTCGGTGATCGAGCACACGGGCATGGCACGTGACTCCCTCTCCCACACCTTCTTTCAACCCAGCAATTAAAATCATAACGGATAAAAAGGCTTCGAGCTTAGGAGTTAGGAGGCCGTTGAATCCCAATCCTCATCCCGCCATTGGTAACAGTCGTAACAGTCGGAGAGTGGACAGCATGCCACTCTTTGCAGCGCTGGGCACCATTTGTGGTTACCGGATAGGTATAATCCGAAAGAGGAACGATTATTTCAAAGTATCATCCTCGATTGGAGACCATAATCAATCCAGAGTAAAGTACGACTCTCTCAGGGTTCTAGAATGGGACAAACTCTGCAACTCCGTCGCCTCTTTTGCCCGCACATCCTTGGGTCGTCAAGCCACTAAGGTTTTTCACTTCTCTTTTTCCCCTTCCCTTTAGATAAATCAGCAGTTATTATTTTTTTTACCTCTGCTTGTTGAAATAACAATTGAGAATTGACAGGCAAAGCTTTGGTCTCTCGATCAAACGTTCCAAGAGAGCTTGAAACTTTTACAAGAAACCAATGCCGCAATCCTAATGCACAACCATGGCTCTTTCAACTTGGACTTGACTTCCGTCGACCTCGCTCTCGTAATTTTCCTTCACTCCTTTGTTTTTTTTTCTTTTAACTTTACTTTTTTCGGATTTTTATTTTTGTCTCTGAAAAGGTCGAATCTGCCATCAAACATGCGCGGAGGGGCTTACCTATAGATGCAAACGAAGCAATGGCTCTTGTGTCTCTACTACAGTTTATTGAAACATTGCAGCTTAATTTAAAAGCCGCAATCAAGGAAGACTCTGATTGGTATAAACAATTCATACCTCTTAGTGAAATGGTAAACTGCCTTTGGAATGCTCAGCCTTTCATCGTCTCTCCACATGCATATGCATATTTACATTTACATTTACTTTCTTTTGTTTTTTTTTAATTGCTTGTAGATTACACAACTGGTTGTAAATCGATCAATAATTAAGTTGATTCAGCAAGTTATAGATGAAGATGGCACTGTTAAAGACTCTGCGGTTTGTTCCTTTTGCCTCAAAGTTACATTCCTGAAACAAAATACAGAGAAAGAGTTTTCCTTTTTCCAATCATATCCCAGTGGTCTTATTTCATCTTGATTTTACTCTCCTTCAGAGTTCTGCCCTTAAAAAAGCACGTGATCAAGTGCGTATGCTTGAACGAAAGGTGAAATTTCTTGGTTTTTCCTTATTAAACCCCAGTGATGCTTGTGTTGGAAAGTAGCTGATATTTCATATACAGATTTTTCCAGAGCAGCTATTATTTTGTTTTTTTTTTTTTCAATTTAGGCTTTGCATGAGTAAAGGCAGTATATTGATGGCAACAACCAGTTTTTTTGTTAAACATCTTTCAGTTGTTGCCCGTCCCTGTTCCCAACCCCCTCAAAAAGAATGAGAAATAAATAAAAGTTAAACATCTTTCTAATAAAATAGATAGAAATATTATTAAACTTGGCTAAGATTTAAGCCCTTAGACTACGTAGGCAATGCAGTAAGCTAACACGAATACTTTTACCTGCATTCATCTCTATTAAGGTCATACACTCTAGGAGTTGTTTGGTCCACCTCTACCTTGGGTTCTCTGTTTTTCCAGTATGCTTCATTTCATACTCAAGGAAAAGGAATGATTTTACACGTGCTAAATCTTTGTTTATAAGGGTATCATTACTGCTTTGTCAGTGTTGCTTCCACAAATCTTTTGGTTAATTAAAATGTTGGTTTGAGTTTTCTTTTTTCTACTTTGCTATTTTAACCGTGTAATTGCTTCTCTCTTCAGTTGCATCACTTAGTGGAAAATCTAATTAGAAATGATACAAAAGAGGCATCCCTTCTGGTAAGATTCATTTGATTACCAACGTGTGCTTTGTCAATCTTCATGGTTGTTATCCTAACTGCCATTGTGCTATTGTTTCAGGAGGCGAGTATTATTGACGGTAGATGGTGTATAAGATCAGGGACTGATCAATTGATGAGTTTTAAGGGTCTTCTATTGTCCAGGTGCATAAATTTGTTGCTTAATTCACTAATTAATGTGCATGCGAATATGTCTGGCTGTGGTGTGAAAAGGTTTAGCCCACTCTTGTGCCTTCAGTGTTACAAATGCTACTGCTTGGCATGGTCATACCATGATAAATTTGTATTATTGAGCACAAGAAGACAGGGTCAACCACATATTTGGATGAAGGGATGATACTTCCATTAACCAATTCAACAAAAAGGTTCTAAGAGTGTTATTTATGGACCTTCAGTTTGTTATTATTCTACGAATCAAGCAGAAAACCCTTATCAAAAGATTACCTTTTCATTTTCCCCCTTTCTTATCAATTGCAGAACTTGAATCAAAGAAAATTTAGTTCAATCTTCAATATTGGTTGTAGAAAATTATGTGTTACTTAGAATTTCTTCTCCAACAAGGTTGATTCAAAAAGTGTACAAGTAATTTACATTTCAAGACAAATAATTGATAGCCAGAAGGATCATGGGATTAAGAGATGGATCAATTTGTATTACTGTAGCTAATTCAGATTTAAAATTGTAACATTTCCTGATTTGTCAATTCTTTTGGATAGATACCAAAACATTTTTGAAGACCAGTTCTCCTTGTATTGCTTTTATACCCATGAGCTGTTGATGGGAGCTCACCTTTTTAATATCATGTTCTTGAAAGGAAATAAATGGTTCTAGTGGTTCAGGACTAGGAAGTATTATAGAGCCACTTGCAGCTGTTCCTTTGAATGATGAGTTACAACAAGCGAGAGCATTAGTGGAAAAGGCTGAGGCAGACGTGCTGTTGATGGTGACAGAAAAGGTTGCTGGCTTTAACGAGTGAAATTACTTTTCTTATCCCGACTGTCATTTATCTCTCATCATGTTTTTGTGTTGCCACAATCTATACAGATACAAATGGATCTCGATGACATTGAAAAGATCTTGAGAAGTGCAATTCGATTGGATATTGTAGGTGCCTGCTTCTTTGCTACTTCTTCTTGGTTCATTTTTTGCTGTTATGTAAAGAGGTGAAGAAAAAAAGATGTTTAGAAAAGTTTAGATAAGATTTTGTTGGTTCTAATGATGGAACTTTTAAAGCGCTTTAGGAACATTGTAAAATGTACCAGATTTAGTTTATGATGGATATATTATCCTTATGCTAGCTTCAAATGATTTCCTTTTTCTTTTTTTTTTAAAAAATGCCCCAAAGATACGTGTGCATGCCAAGTGCCAACTGTGAGGAAAGACCTATTTGGTCATTACAAAGTAGAAACTATTCTACCTCACCAAAACAAGTATATTTTCTGATAGACATTTTGTGACATTCTGTCCATTTTTTATGAAATACTCTGTTTGTACTTGTTGATTATTCCATTTTTATTTTGTTTTTTTTTCTTGACATCTAGATTTATGCTCGTGCAACTTATAGTCTTTCATTTGGAGGGACATATCCCAATATATTCCTGCCAGATGACATCGATGGACCTTTAATGGCTGAATCCTACAGATCAAAGGACAATACTTTACAGGCATCAAATTCCAATAAAGAATGGATTTTATATCTGCCTAAAGCTTATCATCCTTTATTACTTCAGCAGCATAGGCAAAAGCTGCACATGGCTCGGAAGGATGTCCGCAATGCTACTGCTGTTAGTAACATATTGCTAACTTTTGCTGTCCTGAACTTTTACTTTGTCTTAAAAAATACTGGCTAGAATTGTTGTATTTCATATAAGTTTATTAAAATTGAATTCTTTTGTTCCTTTTGGGTCCTCAATTCTTACACATGCTGTTTATTTACAATAATTGGCACAAGAGATTGCTGGATCACTAAATTTTACTCAAGCAACTCATTAGTTTCTAGTGGTCAACTTCATTCAATTACTTTCAGTTATCTATTCTTCTATTCCTTACTGTCTTTTGCCTTAGGAAATCAGGAGAAGAAAACTGCAGGGAGAGAATATGGCAGTCAAAGGAGAAGCAGATATAGATCTTTCATCCTTGGAAATGCAGGTAATTAGTTAATTACTTAATTTTATCCATCAGCTGCTAGTATCATCAGAGACTAAATTATTAATCCTCCAATCATGTTGGCATTCAGTTTCAAGAAGATTATTCTCTTGATTGCCAGGTTAGAGCACTAGAAGAAGCTCCCCCCGTGCCAACTGATTTTTTTATTGCTCAGAAGACGAGAGTACTGGTCATAACTGGCCCTAATACTGGCGGTAAAACTATATGCTTAAAGACAGTTGGATTGGCTGCTATAATGGCAAAATCAGGTTCACATGTTTTTGTTCTTTTTTTCTCGATGATTTGTTTATCGATTGAAAATTAAATGGAGGTGTCAGAATTATAACAATGCTCCATGCTTGTGTAGTTATTAACGTATTAGCCAAACTTTTCATTCTAAATGTTTTGCATATACTCCTTTATGCAAACGTGTTTATATGTCAAGTATATCAAGGGTGCTGAAACACTTTTGAAGCAAAAGATAAATACAACATTAAAGTTTCAAACCATACACCAAGTTTGCTGGATACACAGAGTCTTCTCTTAATACTTATGGTGAATATTAATATAATTTTATTGCATATGTTTTACGATGAACATCATTGAGCAGTAATGTCATTCGCTTTAACTGTTATATTGTCTTGGAAAATTATTATTTTCCTATATTGCATAACCTTACCCTAGTTTCTTTAATGTTGCAGGTCTTCATGTTTTATCTTCAGAATCTGCAAAAATTCCTTGGTTTGATAGTGTTTTTGCTGATATTGGTGATGAGCAGTCCTTGTCTCAATCATTGTCTACATTCTCTGGCCACTTGAAGCAAATTAGTGTAAGGATGATATACTTTCTATTACTCTTCTTGTTTGAAATGAGTCAATAAAATGGCCAGGTAGAGCACAACCAATTTCTTGGAGAGTTCAAAATGTCTTGCTCGCTTCAGTGTAAAGCATTGCACCAGCAAAGTCATCCTTGTAGACTTCAAGCTGGTTGGACATCATTCCTAAGATTAATAGCTTGGTGACTTTGATTCATTCCTTTTAGAATTTGGGCAGTTATTGCCAACTAGGAATTCTTTTGTTTTGGGGATTAAATAATACACATACAGAATGCCCTGATTAGAATTTCTTGATGCAGTTTAAGTATTTGTGTTGCAGGAAATTCGATCACAGTCCACAAGTCAATCATTGGTGCTACTAGATGAAGTATGTTTCAATTAGGCATTTTGTGATTACTTACCTCAATCAACAGACTGAGGTTGAAGAGAAGAAAAGTACTTCACAGTTACAAACAAATCTAAAACAGAGTTTACCCCTTTTTCTATCTGCTAGGTTGGCGCAGGAACAAATCCCCTAGAAGGAGCAGCATTGGGAATGTCTCTACTAGAATCTTTTGCTGAAACTGGTGCATTGCTGACAATAGCTACAACACATCATGGAGAACTTAAAACTTTGAAATACAGGTATACATAGTAGCTAGCTGGAGATGTATTTCTTGCACTGCATAGTTCAGTCTATTGACATATCTAAGTTGAGGAAGAAATCTAATTATGATCAAGTTTATGGTTATTGTAGTTTCTACTCATTCATATGGAAGATGTGTTGTTAACTATATTCTGGCTCTTGCATTTATGCTAAGAATTGTGCTGCTGCACCAAATTATTGATCTTATATATCTTTGGCAGTAATGATGCCTTTGAAAATGCTTGCATGGAGTTTGATGACGAGAACTTGAAGCCAACTTACAAGATTCTCTGGGGAGTACCAGGTATTCATCATAGATATGTGACCAAGAACAATGAGTTGCTTGATTCTTGGACTGTTTTCTGCTAGTCAACTGTGTCTTGCACCAAAGTTTTTTGAGGCCAAGTATTACTCCTGTGGCACTGCTGGTTATTGGGTTTTTGAGTAATATCATTGTGTTGTTGTACTGAGACTTGATGTGACTTAGGCAGTGTCAAATTGTCTTAGGTCGTTCAAATGCAATCAATATAGCTGAAAGATTGGGAGTACCCAGCATAGTTGTTGATAATGCTCGTGAGCTATATGGTGCTGCTAGTGCGGAGATTGATGAGGTAACTGAGTACACGTATAGCATGCTTGTTATTAGTTTTTTTTTATTTGGAGAAAGGGGATTCGAACTCTATGTTTTAGAGAAGAAAATGCTTGAGTGCAATTTGCTTGTTGTTAGTTAAGTTCTGATATCTGCTAGTATCAGGTTGTGGATTGAGCAACTATTATTTTCTACTTTGCTTTACTGAAAGTTACTATAACTTGGTTACCCGGTTGTATGGACACCTTGATTTATGAATGTTGAAAAGGGAACTTTTCTCAAGGACCTGTATATACCGTGTAGTTGAGAATGATTGTTGAACTCTCTCATCCTACATCATAAGTATTCCTTATAATATTTGGTGCATATCTTAATGCAGGTAATAATAGATATGGAAATATTCAAGCAAAGTTTTCAAGAGCATAAACATGAGTCTCGGCATTATTTGATGTATGTATCTTTTTCTTGAAATTGATTCCTGGATGTGAAACCATGAGCTTCCAATGTAATTAAATTTTTTATGCCCATTGATTTAGAAGGCTGTGAGGATAACCGTTCTCTATCATTAGTCACCTTAATTAATTGCTCAGCATCTATAAAAGCTATGTTCTGATAACGTAGTCTTTTTAATTTTTTGATGAGTTTTCTGATGGCTATTTACATATTTATCCTCTCTGAGTTAGTCTAACTAAAATAATATAGCTATATAGTTACATATTTACCCATCAGCTTTCGGTATACTAAACTCTCCAAAATTAAGAATGCATAAACCTGGCCAACCTGAATAAGACCGCTTTTCACTTTTAATAAATTCAAGGTCATTGTTCTTAACCTCCACTTTTTATAACTTATTTTGACATTGACATTTTACATTCGTTCTCTTTTCAAAGTATAGAAAAATTCTTATTCCGAATAATTTAGTGATGTGCTTCCTTTTAGAAGATGCCTGGGGTTCAACTCTGCATGCATTTAACCCACATTGTCTTGTTTGCTTTCCATGTTTAACTAGAAGAGGAAAATTTAAAGGTCCATTTACTGTCTCCTATGTGATATGCCCATAGCCAGGGAATACTGGATCGTAGACAGATAGAAAAAGTTTGTCAATGTAGCATTTATCCAAGTTATGGAAAAAGTTGCTTGCTAATTTTAGTTGATAATTACTATAAATAAGGCTGCTGCTATGGTTTACAGAGTTCTAAACATGTATTGCAAGCCAGTGGATGCTCTATCTAGTGTCTTTGTTCTGCTTGTGATTATAGGCTGTCAAGAAGTCTTCATGAGAAGCTATTGCTCACCAGAAGAAAGCTCAAGGATCTTAGCACTGATCAAAGATATAAGATGATGAAAGTACTATCTGAGGCTGCAGCAGTGGCTCGATCTACCCTTCACAAAAAGGTACAGCAGCTTCGTACATCCACAATGAAACAATCCCAACTCAGTAAAGCAAGCAAGCATACACTACCAAGTAATTACAAGCATGCTACATCAGTTGAAACCAAGCAGCGGAGTACCAATATGGGTTCATCCTCAATTCAAGTTATTAAACAACCACAATCAGGTATCATTTATAAAGCAGACAAAACTTTCTTCTGCCGATTTGAAATAGTTAGCTTTTTATCTTTGAAACTCTTTGTGCCAGAATATTGCTCCATTAAGCTAAGACCAGTGAAACGGTCATTGAGTTTTTATCAGTAAATCTTTCCTTTGGTGTTCATGATGCAGAAAAAATTACTGAGCTTCCTAAGGTTGGTGATATGGTGCATGTTTCATCCCTCGGCAAGAGAGCAACGGTTTTAAGAGTAGACACATATAAGGAAGAAATAGTAGTTCAAGCCGGAAACATGAAGCTTAAGTTAAAACTAAGTGATGTTCAGACATGAATGGTAAGAGTAGTATGATTATGGGCACTTTTTTGCTTGATGCTGTTTTGTTGATTTTCAGAATAGCTTCCTCACTTGTCGATAATTTTTTCTTTCATAATTCTTTATACAATAGCATATATGTGCATAGAGAAATCATTGATTGAAGAAACTTGAATATAACAATATATCCTTCTTAAGTGTAGTTTCTTTTTAGAGTGAAATACCTTGACCTCCTTAAATTTTGATCGAAATTACACGGAGATCTACTAATTTTCAAAATGAACACTTCGTCTGAAAAAAATATTTTCTCCTAGACACGAAGGTTCAGCCGTTAGTCAACGATTAGTATTTTTGTCAACTTGTTGACATGGCAAGAATAAAAAGACAAATTTACCCCTGATTAATTTTAATAATTACAATTATATAATTTTATTATTTTTTATTAATTAAAGAAAAAAAAAAGCTCTCCACTGGGGAGCACCGAGGGAGCCCAAAATCGAGCTCCCAAGGGGAGCACCGGTGCTCCCCTCCCTTGCCGGTGCTCCCTTTTCTTGGGGTGCTGGGGAGCACCAATCGGTGCTTCCTATTTTTTTTATTTTTTAAAATATAATAATAAAATTTTAAATTAATAAAAAAAGAATGCATTTTAGTCTTTTTATTATTTCTGTTAACAGTGTTTCTAGTTTTGAGGCGGAGTGTCCATTTCGAAAATTAATGGACCTTCGTGTAATTTCGATCCAAACTTAAGGGGATCAAGGTATTTTATCTTTCTTTTTATTATATAGCATCCCTAAAACAAATGTGTATCCTCCAACTGTTTTGACTCTCCACCAGGTTTGGTCTGTAGTCTGTACTAGGTGTTGCTTGTAAGCTTACTTTAAAATGCACAAAATCTTATAGTAGTTGCTGAATCTAGTGGTTGTAGGAGTTACGAAGTTTCTCTTGCCTGCAATCATTGCATGAGGATTTGTGCATTATGTAGGAAAGTGTTATTCACACATTTGCAACCATTTAGAAAGTGGAATGACATTGATGATCATCACTGTCCAGCTCCATGAAAAGAAAGAACCATTTGTAAATATTAGGCTGTAAATATCTAGAAGCTGAATCACAAGCTTTGTCAGCAACAGCTAAGCATGTCAAGGTGGAGATTCTTTAGATCATGCTTAGCAGCTCAGATCAGCATACCTAGAGATTCGAGGTATTTGTGTACAATTATTTATCTTGATGAAGCGAAGATTAGCTCTTTGTTATAATTTATTCTTTGGTCTCAGTTTGCTTTTAGCTTGGTTGATTGAAACTGTAAAACATACATGACTTAGCAATGCAAGACTTGAGTTACTTGTGTATATTTTCTGTTGTTCTGAAGAGGTTCTTATGGATTTGTTGAAGTTTTTGCCCGTAGAAATACGTCAACTTCTATTGGCAGTAGGTTTCTTCTCATCGAGCAACTACGACTTTCACAGTGGAATAGATTGAAAAGATTTTTACGTGGTAAGCATCTCGATTTCATCATGATCAATCCTAGAAATTGTGCAGGGAAAACACCATTATGTATATGTGGCAAAAGTCTTTGTTCTTATTTAATTTGAGAAAATAAAGATAGACGCACTAGGGCATATTGGTATTTAGCCATGTAAGTCTTTGGGGCCTCAATATCGTTCAATCTACGCGGAATGTAAATTCAAGTTCATGATGACCTTGTGGCCAAGTGAATAAAAATAGCTTTGGAATAATTTGTTTGATAAGCAACTAGGTAAAATTCTTCAAAAGGACGGCATAACTGCCTTAGGACACAAAAAAGGACAGCAAGCTGGTACCATAATGTTCGGTAGCTCGTTTCTGCTTCATGGATAACACGGCATATCGTATTTGTTTGGTTGTGTGTAATTAGCAAATTCTTAGCATGAAAAAGGGATTGCTCCCAAAGGAAGTGATATCCATAACGATAGAAGAAACCAACCTTTCAATTTTCATTCCTCTTATCGAACGATTCTCCTTGGATACATTTTGTTATGTGAAAAGGCTGAAAACCCATTTCTGATATAACAAACCGTGTTCGTTACTGATGATTAGGATAGAAAACTAAAATGCGTATGCGCCGGTATTTGTTAACAACCTTATTTCCCATAATGATGAAATGCAATTCGATTCAACTTGGATTGAACGAATTGGCAGACGCAACCATTTCCTATATTCCTAGCTATACGAAATTACAGGATTACGATCGACCCGAACCCCCTGATTCCTCATCCTTGTGGCCATTTTCATCAACGACCCCAGCGGCCCGCCCATACTGGAAGGTAACATCGAGGAAATAAAGCATGAAAATGAGGGCAATGCAACAGAAAACCATAGGAAGAGGGCCAAAGATCCACAAGAAAAGAGGGAACGAGAAGTAAAACGCACGTAGCCCCAAAGACCAAAAATAGCTGCCCCTGTTCACGGTGGTGGCAACGTATTCAACGGTAAGATGGTGATGGCGCTGATGCTGGGACATCTTCTTCACAGGCACATTGATGAGGATGCTGGCATGGCTGTAATACCTGATGGACTGCACGTTGAGCAAGAAGGCCACCAGGAAGCAAACCAATATCGAGAAACACTTGATGGAAAATGCGAGGTTGCTTCGGTCTCCAAACATGAACCAAGACGATCTATTACCGCTACTGCTTGTCATCAAGACGGCGATGAGGGAACTCAGCATGATCGCCGTCGATGCCAAAAGCGTCGATGCCATTATGTTGTTTCTCAGCGTTTGCACAGCCAAAACCCCATTTTTTGCCACGTCCTGCACCAAAAAAATTACTACTCCATTAATTTTTACATCCATTTTCCCATGCATGCAAGGGTTTAATTAGATACTATATCTATATATACCAGAATTGAGAAATCAGATTCAAGAAAGAGGAAAAGAAATGGTCAAGAATATTGGAAAATTAAGAACTACCAATTACCTCCATCATAGCGCGAACCCAGAAGCGGCGGTTGATGGCGTTGACGCCGATGACGGTCTTGGTGGGATGTTTGACGATTCGGTAGAGAAGCCAAAGATGGTATGCCAACATTAAAAGAATCCCTATTGGGACTAGCGCGCAATCCAGATATTTTTTCTCGATAGTCATATTGGTTTAGAGCAGTTTCATCAGCAAAAAGGCAGAGAACTAGACCAACGTACGAGGCCTTCGGCTTGGCTTTCTGTAATTTCAAGAGTGTTTTGGTGTGAAGTGGGAACAGAGAGGGGAAAACAAAGGGAGACAGCTGGGGTTGCGGGTGCGGGCTGTCCTTGCTCTTATGTTTATGGAATTGGAAGGGAACCGAGAAAGAGGAAAGATAGAAGAAAGCAGGTTTAATGAAAACTAGGAGGAGCATTAAAATGGGACTCTTACGTGGACTGCAGAGCCAAACCGCACTTAGCCCACCAGAACCCCGTGACTTCTTTTTCCAATTCACGTCAAAGTTGAAATGCTGAATCCAAAACAAAACATCAGCCGTCTAGGTTGGACTCCGGTGAAAGAGGAAGCTGCTTTTTCGTCTTAATGATAATCTTTTCTGCTTGGAAAAACCATTTTAATCTTCTGTTTCCCTTCTCAGTAGTAAGTAGTATATATATTCTCTTCCTTGCACATCACATCATTAAATAGATTTATAGCCTTCAGTACAAACCATGAAGCCATCTTAACCAGATATGAAAGGTCATTCATTTTAACATTTAAAATTCAACAAACCAAGCTTTAGTCACATGCATTGGCAAACCATAACTAACATTTGTTGCTTTTGCTGCATAATCAGCGCGAGGGGTGGCTGGCTGCTGCCATAAAATATATGCGCACTGTGAACACCCTTCTCTTACTTTTCCAGCATAATTTAACTCACCCATGGCTAAAACTCTCGTCACTAGTGTGGTCACTTTGCATTCATTCATGGACCAATTTATACTCTATCATATCATTCTTGCTACTGCCCAACTTCTTCAACCTTTTGAGCTCCTTTTCCATTTTTAACACTTACTCATATGCTCTTTTAGTTGATATTTATCATATACCGCAACCCAAGATTTTTCTTTTGTTTTGTTTTGTTTTCTTTATTAATGGTTTTTTTCTTTTTTGCCGGCTCCCCACCCTCTGTTTTACTTTCCTTGGAAGTACTCCACTTGATAAGTGTGTCTATCCTACGTGCCAAGTGAGAGGGAAGGTAATAACTTCGACTTTGTATTAACCATATAGCTACCAGTAGAAGTGGATTTAAAAATTTTTTATAATTAAAATAATAATTAAAAAATATAAATATATTAAATACATAAATTAAAATTTATAACATTAAATTAAAAAATATATAAATCAGTACATTTATTTAATATTTTAAAGTAAAAATATTTTAGATAACTATAATTGTTCATTCATTATTCATTCGATTGCGTAGTCTATACTTTATAAATTTCATTGTTAAAAAAACTCTTTCAATTTATATTATTGTAACTAGTAAGATTAATGCAAGTTTTACGAACAAATAAACTAAAAGTTACATAGTATTTCTATTTGTGTACAAAATAATCAAATAATATATCGAAATATAGATTTTATGCTGGTGGAAGGTAAACCATATGACTCACGTGTGGAAGAGTATTCTGAAAAGCAGAATAGTCCTTGCAAAAGGGCTAGGAAGGAATATTGCAAATGGACACCTAACTTAGCTCTGAACATATTCTTGGCTTAGCTGTGGACCATTAATCAATTATGCAACCATATATCTACTAGAGGTTGAAATGGATTTACCTGTAGGCAGTTATTGTGATGAATTTGGTAATTGGAACTTTGATCAAATCAATCAAGTTCTCCCCTAACATATTACATTGATTGTATCAATCTGTAAAGAGGATATCTTCATTGCTTAGTAGCAGACTTGGCTCAGTTCTGAAAGGTTGATTGAAGATAGGTGGCCTCCAAGTCAATGGGAAGACCTTGGGTCAAACATATGTCTTATACTAAGAGAGTTATTTATTTTTACTGTTTTTACTATTGTAATTAGTTGGTTGGTTATTAGTTAAACAACTTTACTTTCTTGCTTTTTTTACCTGCTTTCCTTTCTTTATAATGGATTGTTTCTTGTTAGCTCTGTATATAAAAACCCATTATAGTTGCCATTTTTATTCAATGAGAATAAAAAGAAAATATTCTTCCACAAGTTCTCTCAAAGTTTTCTCTCCAAATTTCAAAGCTTTGACATGGTATCAGAGGGCTTCAAGATTTAGGATCAAGAATGCTTTATAAATTCATTTGAAGTTTTGTTATTGTTCTTGGTTTTTTTCTTATTCACTACTTGATTTCTCGTTTTCAGGTGAAATCTTGCATCTCCCTTTGTAAATTTGGAATGTGTTAGAATTGTTCACTTGAGTTTCTTCAATTATCATTAGAGTTGTGATTTGTGAAAATTAAAGAATTGTTTATTTGTGATTTGTTGTTATCTTAGATATGGCTGAAGAATCACAACCAGTGACTAATTTTACAACAAACCTTAAAACTACAAATTCGTACGTAAAGGATGTTCTATCCCCTTATTATGTGCATCATACTGATAGTCATGGATCTATCATTGTGAATCCTAAGCTCACCTCTAGCAATTATATTACTTGGAGCAAATCATTGTCGTTAGCATTGTCTATTAGGAATAAAATTGGTTTCATTAATGGCACGATTACAAAACTTGATGTTTCAAATCCTTTGTTTAGGTCTTGGATCAAATATAATAATTTGATAGTTGCCTGCTTCTAGATTCTATAACAGCTCCAATAGCATCTACTGTGTTTTACATGGATAATACCTTTGAAATCTAAAACACTTTTAAGCTAAACTTTGCCCAACCAGATGATACCTATGTATGCGACTTGCAATACAATTTAGGCAATGTGAATCAAGGTACTAGATCAGTAGATGCATACTTTATTGAGTTAAAGGGAATTTGAGAAGAGTTGAAGAATTTTGGACCTTTATCACATTGTGAGTGTGGTAAATGTAATCTTGTATGCTTTAACAAATACTTAAATTAATACTAAAAAAATATGGTATTTAAATTTTTAAATGGTCTCAATGAGCCTTTTTCTACATTAAGATCACAGATTATATCAATGGAACCTCTTCCTAAGTTAGACAGAGCTTATAACATGGTTTTGAGAAAAGAAGCTCAAAGAAGTTTATTGATTCAATCGAATCCAGTTATAAAGGCTTCTACCATGATTACTATTGTAGACAATTAGAAGAAAGCCAAGACAGAATTGGTGTGTAGTCATTGTGGAAAGAAGGGTCATGTTAAAGAAAAGTGCTTTAGGTTGATTAGGTTCACTGAAAATTTTAAGTTTACAAAAGGCAAAAAGGGGTTTCAAGAAGACAAAATCAACTGCAAATAGTATCTCAACTGAAGCAAGAAATACTTTACAGTTTGATTATGATGAGGAGCTTATTGGCATAGATTCCATGTCCCAACTATCTCAAATTAAGCAACAAGTTCAGATATCAATGACTCTTCTTAATGAGAGTGGTATAAATAGTGAATACTATTTTGGTGATTCATTAAATGTTCAACAAGGAAAGCCTTCTTTGGTCAACTCAACCTTTGCAGGTATTGTCTCTAGTCACTCTTGTTTTAACACCATGAACAACCTTCCACCTAAGTACAAAACTGTCAAATCTTTTATGATAAAACAAAATTCTTGGGTGATAAATACTGGTGCTGGTGATATCATGCTCTTTGGATAACTTTAAATCTGTTAGATCAGTGAAAAATTGTTTTGTGCATTTACCTAATAGTGTTAAAGCTATTGTGACCCATATAGGAATTGTTAAGTTGACTCTCTATTAACGTTGGAGAATGTTTTATGTGTCCCTTTATTCAATTTTAACCTTATTTCAAGGACTAAACTTACTTCTTGTAAGAAGAACTGTGTTCTTTTTACTTATGAGCTATGTATCATTCAAGATCTCCCTTCATGGAAGGTGATTGAGGTTGCCAGAGTTCCCTCAAGGCTACACTTCCAGCAATATTACCAAGATGAATAATTTCTTTCCAAGCCCAGTTTTGATAATTTTGTATCATTTCCTGTTAAATCTTCTGTCAATACTCGTAAAACATTGAACAAACGATTAGGCCCGACCCAATCATAGGAAAATTTGGATCGGGCCCGGCCCTCTGCTAGGATTTGAAGCCCATATGTGAAAGAAAAAGAATATAAAACAAAGTTCATACTAAATAAAAAATTTGGGTGGGCGTGGGCCGAACAAGTAGCTCACCTAATCATTAGCTCTACCGTTGATGATAGTGGTTGTGATCCTGGTGGATAAAGTCTAGTACTTTATATATTTTTTAATTTCTTTAATTTAAAAAAAAGTGGGGTGGAATTGTCTCTCTCTCTCGGAAATGGGGAAATGGGGCCGTTCCCATTTGAATAGTGAATAGCACCGAAAAGTCAATGAGAAATGAGAAAGAAGGCGACAAGATATTGCTAAAACAAACGTTGGCCACGTGACAGTGATTAAGTAAATAGTGGAAAATTAGACGGAGAGACGAAAGACGACAAATTCAAATTCAGTCATCGAGAAAATTACATGTGAATTTGTTCGGCATTTAAGTTTCATGTCCCACGAACCCACACTCGTATGTTAACTCCCCTAATGTCCTTTGCGTGCGTCTACTCCTGTCCAAAATGCTTTTATTTCACACATTAATAATTTTTTTTTTTTCACTTAGGGCGCGCCGCGTCAACCCCCAACCCCCAACCCTTTCGGCCCTAACCTCTCCTACTTATCCCCATTTTTTTTTCTATATATACTCCCTACCCTTCGCTCGGTTTCCCCATTTTTCTCTGTGCCCTTTTTGTTGCTGCCGCTTCTTACGTCTAGACAGAGCGCTCGTTTCTTTTTTTGTTTCTTTCTTTCTTTTTGGATTCCCGTTTTGTTGCTCTCACTGTTCCGGCGCCAGGTTAGTTTCATTATTTCCTTCTCTTGCCATGGTTTCCTTCCTTGTTTTGTGCTCTTTTTATTCATGGAGAATGGTCAATTTTTTGCCCATTTTCCAGATCCGTTTGCATTTGGGCGTGTATTTTGGTTTTTATGTCGTGTGGTCAACGGTTATGGCTCAGTGCTTTTAACCTCTTTGATCTCTAGATGGGTTGGGGTCGTTTTTGTAATTTTGGTCAAATACGAGGCTGCTTTATGTAGTATTAGATTTGATGAAAATACTAGTAGTGGTTATAGCTAGCAAGAGACCCCGCCAAAGTGTATCAAAAGTTTGACCAATTGTTTGATATTCTGTTGGGCTCTGCAGAAGAACGTTTGAGTATTACACGGTTGGGAGCTTTGGGATTTTTCAATCGTGAAAAGACTTTTTTGTGGGTCTCAAAGGCAATGGAGGTATACGGCAAAACCATGGCTGCTGCCCCTGCAAATGTTATTTATTTGTCTACTATTCTGGGCCGTGATGGGCCTATGCCTGTTCACAAATGCGATTGGAAATGTCAAAATGAACATGTTTGTGGCAACATGTATCGCTGCAAACTAACAGGAATCACACACATCTGTGACAAGAATTGTAACCAGAGAATTTTGTATGATAACCATAGTTCCCTTTGCCGGGCAAGCGGCCAGGTCTTCCCCCTTACGTCAGCTGAGGAACAGGCGGTCAGAGGCGTCAGGAGGAAGTTTGATGCTGACAATTCCCCACCCTCTGATAGCTGTGGTTTTAAGCGCAGACGCGATGCGCAGTTTCATCCTTCTCCTTTCGAGAGATCTTTCTCTGCTGTTAGTCCGATCTGCAGCCAAGTTGGAGATGGCATGGATATGAGCTAGATTAGATTAGAATTTAGATTATATTTATATATATAGTATCGTATTATTAACCTCAAAGACTCCTTTATCTTGTTCCACTTATCGTGTTCCGTTGAAACTTATTCCATTTTGCTTCTTCTCATGGGAGAAATATGGATCATGGATAATAGACTTAATGTTGGTGATCTGATGATGGTGGACCCATTGGCGTTCTACCTGCCTGTAGGAAAAAAAACACTTTTATTTCTTATCTTAATGCTATATAGCTCTTCGCCTAGCTTCATTTTGAAACTGGAATTTCATTCAGTTTCTTTCTAACTCTTCTCTAACCAGGTTTATCAACTTTGACAGCTACAGCGTACTTCTAGGTTCTTAATAGGAGTTGGAATTGTTATGTTTTTCATTTAGCAGTTTCTTGGTTATTTATGTTTATTCTAATTGTTAATTTTGTACCTTTTTGTAATTATTTTATTGAGCTTGCGAATTTGTGGATGTAGGGCCCAATATTTGATGTTAACCTAGCTTGGAATCATAATGGTTTTACTGATTCATTTGTAGTTCATTTTATAAACATTGTATTTATTTTCTTAGTTTGTCGATATATTGTGTTGGGATTCTAGAACTCATTTGTGATTTGACTAGTTTATTGCAGGTTGAAGAGGAATGACATGGCTGTTGTCATGTGTTCTATATGTTCTAGTTTATTCTTTTGTTTCTTTTCTTGGTTAATTTGTTACATGAGATCCTGAAGTGTATGTTGATTTTGCAGGGGTTGAAAGTGTGCAATTCAGGAGAGTTTAAATATGCTTTTGCAATCATGAATGAAAACTTTCCATTTTAGGCTTTGTGAATTTAATTTTCTGAATCATTTCTGTGCAGGTAATTATGTCATTGCTTATGTTGGATGTCAAAACAATGCCTGTTACTGCTGATGAAGTAGGTTCCATGTTATGCTTCCTGCCTGCTATTAGCAGTCTGCCCTTTGGAGGGATTGACCCCATAGAATGCAAGGTGGTTCAACCTTACATAAGTCAAATATCTTAATGTTATCAGCGGAAGGCAACAACGTAGAACCAATGGCTAGTGCCACGGGTAAAGGTGTGCTGTTGAGTTTTGCACGTGGAAGAACTGCTACATGCAAATGTTTTTTAGTTGCCATGTTCTGGCAGCTTTGGTCGGTAGAAGAAACCAATGGTGTCTTCTGCTTGGCTGCTTATGAACACATTTTGTGTTACCGCTGTTGGCTTTCTGAATACTATAGGTACATTTTCACTTTGAGGTCGGAACCTGGTTTGCCAAATTAAAATGGAGTATTAAGCAAGGTGATTGATCCGCTTACCATTCCATTGCTTGGTTAACTTGCTTGCTGTCATCTCTATGCTGAGAATGAAATAACATATTGCTTGCCTGGTTCTACTAGATCAGCTGCTCAAAATGTTTGGTCGCTGTTTGGAACCAATGAAGAAGTGAGATGGCCATTTGTGAATTTGTTGAGAATCAACTTGTGCTTATCAGAAGGCTCCCATGTCCCGTCCATGTTAAATTGCGAGGAAAACAACATTTGCTAAGATAAGTTGGCATTAGCGCTGAATTTAGCTGGTGAAGTAGTTCTGGATTTGGTGGCTGAGGTGTACAGCTGGGAAATTTTCGTGGGTTGTATCGGACTTGAAACATCAAAGCTTTTTCTGTTGTCCTGGCAAATTGGCAGGGCTAGAAAAGCATTTCTGGTAACAGTCACATCTAGCCCATCACATGGACTGTTGCTGAGTTTTAGCTGCTGTGGATCACGTCCGGGTTGGTGACCCGCAGAACAAGGATGTTATAAGTTGTGTTGTTCTGAAACGTTCAAGTTTTGTTAAATGCAACTCCTCCTGCCAAGACAACGCTCATCCAATCTTGTTACACACGGATGCTGCAGCAGCCCCAGCCTGTTAGCTGTCTGCATACTTAACACTATTGTGAAGCAGTGTTCCTTGAATTTTTATACATAGCACCAAAAGTCAATCTCCCGTTTTACTGTTGATTTCTTAGCTCATTGTAACGACCCTTCCTCTTTTCTTTCCCATTTTCTTCTGCTGTCCATGTTTGTGACTTGCAGCCTTAGAAAAAAAAGCAGCAACTGTGCCAGTTAGTTTAGGTTTGTGCTGGTACAACATTTGTTATGTGATTGATCTATACAGTTATGTTATTCTCAATTTTCATCAAGGGAAATTTTAATTGGGTGAAGTTATTGATATATTGGCATCGTATTTGGAGCCTGTCTTCGTAAATTTTTACTGGAGGTGTGTGTTTGTGCGAGCCTCTTCAGGAGAAGGAAATCTCTGATGTCTTCTTTGTCTTGCTTCCATTGTTCATCTCCTGCTCTACTACCTGCATTCTGATCGTACCAAGCAACACTCAGCACACGATATAACAAAATAGCAACTACCACCTGTCCCACTGAAACAAATAAATGAAATAAAAATATTGCAGAACACTTCTGTCAAAGATTTCTGAACCTCGCCTCCTTCCGAAGTTGTCTGTTTAGTTTCTGTTTTATGTACTAGAGAAAGTGCCAAAGGAAACTTGAAACTCTCTCTCAACCAAGATGTCTAATCCAAAACAAGCATTTGGGCTTTTTGGACGGCTTGTTCTTGCTGGAGTTTTGTGCAGTCCGGAGTTGGGTCTTGTCAAAGGTGGTGAGTGCGGGGAAATGCGGTAGAGCATTCATGGCCATGAGGTCGCACTCCATCTGAATCTTTCTTTTCTTCGAGACAACCCTTGGCACGTGATTTGACGCAAACTTTGCAAAGTCACCACCCTAGATGACGTGTGTGTGTATATATAAATAATGAAAGCCGAATATTTTCTTTTTCTTCCTTTTGTGCTTTCGCACGTTTTCTATTCTTTTTACGTACCGCAATTTGAGCGGTAGTTGGCAGATGGGGCCGAGGACGAGGAGAGTAGATAACACACAACGATACAAGATTGCATGTGACTGAAGCATTTGGGCTGGATTACTGCTGCAGTGACGAATTTGCATACCCAACCACATGGACAATCCGTCTCCTTCTATTTAGTAATATTTCAGTCTTAAACTATTACCAAGCGGGCTTTGTCGATGGGCTTACCTGCACTTCACATCCAAGCCTTGGTCTGCAATAATGCTCGCAGGTTTGATTTCATGCTCTGAAAACAGTTTTTGCTTTTCATTCTTGGCCATTGGCGTCGTATGAGCGCATTCGCCCTCGATCCAGTGGAGTTGCAAGCAAGCACTGGGTTGTGGAGGCGATTTCTCATCAAATATCCTCTCATCAATCAACCAAACATAAAATTAATTTAATGATTTGGTTTTGAACCAAAAAATCAAAAATTTATCACTTTTTTTTACAAATCATAATATTAAAATTTTATTTATATATTATATATAAATTAAATATATAATATTTTTTATTATTATATATATATGAGATTAATGACATAATTTATACGTTATAATATTTTAAGTTTTATATCAAACTTTGTATAAATAATAACTAATTATAAATAATATGTTATAAAAATTAAAATAATAGCTTATAAAATTATTAAGTAAAATCATATAAATAAAATCTATTATAAGTTACAGTAATATTCATGTATAAATTAAATATATGTATATATATAATTTTTTTTTATAAATTTAATGTATAATATATTATTTTATTATGTATATATGAAATTAATGATATAACTTATATGTTATAATGTGTTATATCAAAATTTGTATAAATAATAACTAATTATAAACAATATGTTATAAAAATTATAGTGATAATTAATAAGGTTACTAAATATAATCATATAAATAAATTTTATTATAAGTTATAGTAATGTTTATATATAAAATAATTATATATACATATATATAATATTTATACAATCATATATTATTCATAATATTTTATATTAAAAATATTATTAAAATGTAATAATTATAACATATTAATATGTAAGATATTTACTATCATATATTATAATATTAATATATATATTATATCATTTAAAATATATAATTAAAAATTTCATATTAATACATATTTTAAATAAACAAATATATAAACCTAAAATTAAATTATTATGATTATGATTTATCTACGTATATATAATAAATTAATACATTTTTATATATTATTAATTAAATTGATTATCAATTTTTAATATATATAATATTACATATATTAATATATATATGTAATATAAAAAGTTAATTTGATTTTTTGAATAAATTGATCTAAAAATTATAAAAACGAGAATTGATCCAAAAACCAATTTAACCAGTTGATACAATAAATCAATTAAACTAAACCGTTTTATACAAATTACATTTGACTTAAATAAATAATAAATTTGATTTAATTTTACTCACCCCTACTTCTTACGGTTCTCCCTGCTAATGCCAATCTTTCTCCTAATTCACTAGTTTTTATTTAGACATGCTGAATTAATCTGCAAATGAGGTGCTTCTGCCGAAAACACGAGAAAATAGCTTAAATAGTTCTCAAGAAAGCATAGGTAATTTTGCCGGTTTTCATCCAAATGCTACCAAGGCAAGGGTACAGTAGCATATATTACGTTTTACAATTGATGGCAACTCATAATTAGTAACTGTGAAATATGCTTAGAGAAAAAGACCACCTTTTCGTCATAAAAAAGGGCAAAAGCATTTTCTGCTCTTACTCAAGGCAAGGAATTTATACCAATTGTCTGTAATTGGCTGCATAGACAACAAGTTTTTGAACATTGATTTCGTCTCTCATTTTCTGGTCTTGGGTTTTTTTGAAACGACTGTTTTCTTTCCTGCTTTTTTGGGCGGCTGTGGCTTTCCTCCGGCAGTTTTACCTCTCTTCCGTGATGCCGTCTGCATCAAGGCATACCTTGGATAAATATACAGATATTCTTGCAATAAAAGTAGGAATTTTTTCTATTCAACAAAGATACACTTTAGTGAAGGTGATCCGAATGCATACAGATGTTTTGTCTGCTTTGCCTTTGGCTTTCCCGTTCATTTGTCCATCAATGCCCCCATTTTGATCAGTTTGATGGGGAATAGTCTTAGGCATCTTGTCAATTTCGTCTTCAGAATCAAATGAGAAGCCATCTAGTGTACCTATTAATGCAAGATGATCAAATATCAAGGATAAGCAAATTTTTATGGAAGTAAATATGTCAAAGCATGAATCATTATCTACATTAGATAGAAGCACATTCTTGCCAGTTGCCCCCAACCCCATATCCCTTCTCTTTTTTTCCACAAATGAATGAATAAATAGCGAAAGTAAGGTTACCTTCAACCATGGTTTCTGCTTCGTAAACATTGGATTGTGATTTAAGTTGAATGAAGTCATTCATGATAGCCTCAATCTGAGAATAGAATATGCAATTTACAGGAAGCGATAAGGAAATTTAACAGCAATGTTTTAGAAAGTATCAAGCAGCTGACTGACTAAAATAATATCAAAGGTAAGTACTAGGACAAACCTTTGCCTCAGACTGACCAAAGCCAACCTGTACAACGAAAAATCTGTGTAAACAACATCAATAGAATCACAAATGTGCAGTGTAAAAATGCAAAGCAGAGTTTACGCACAATGCAAAATGTTCTGGAAGGCACTATTGTTGTTTTGTAAATGGTTCCTGAGAAAATAAGCCATGTAAAACCAGTCATGAGAGATTGAGAAAGATAAGGTTTTTAAAGTGGAACTAGAGTATATATCCAAGATTTATGTAGAAAAATGTAAAAACAGATAAAGTTTAACAGAAATGCCCGGTAACTTACTGAATGTTAGTACCGAACAACTCCAAGTTACTTGGGTACAAATGCATACATGTATTCTTTTCAATAACAAGGTGTCATTATCTTACGAACCAGTTAGAGATGATTATTTAAAAGTTCAAACATAACAACGAACAGATATATCATCTTAACCTAAGCAGTGCATTGGATCAAAACATGCCTTTCAAGTCTAAGAACATTTCATGATTTTCAGATGCAGTATCTGAAATTACTATTCGTCCAACAGCCCCAACATCACCACTCAAATCTATGGAATCCCCTTCACACTCAACAAGTGCCTGCAAAAACCACAAAGCCTCTTGTTAAACTGGCTTCTTTTGAATGCACACAAACGTAACCACATCACATGCCCAAACCTTAATATGTTAATTTTATAAAATTTAAGGTCTCCATAACATAAAATATATTTGGTTTGCTTGAGGCCTGTTATTTTTTCTCACATATAAAAAAAAACCAAACCAAACTAAATGGTTTTAGATTTTCAGTTACAATAAAAGGAAATGAAACCAAATCCTTAAAAAGTCCAAAAGAAGACAAACCAAATATACCAGCTAAGATTGGTTTCTTGGTTTTCCCAGGTTCTTTGCAGAGTTCTACTGACTTAAAAAGTAAGCAAATCAACAAATTTTAGATTACTTCTGATTATCCTCCTAGTAATAAAATCTTCCTTAATTGATTTCCTGTACAATATAAAGGTAAAACTTCAGAACACTTTCAAGAAACTGAAATGGTTGACATTGCCAAGACCATCCTTTTGGAAACTCACAGCCAATTCTCTGGGGAAGGTAGATGTAAAGAAGCTATAACTATGACAAAATGTTCCCTACCTTTGAACGCTGAATTTTCTCAGACAGCACCAAAGGCAACCTTGAGGTAGAAACCTACACATTATAGATTGTTGAAAAATTCGGTGAGCTAGAGGATAGAGAAGAAACCATCACAGTTGTTGCCAACATTCTTACATGAGGCTCAATGTGCTTTTCAGATGCCTCCTCAGCAGCCACGATATTATCATCATTTTCTGTATCACAATCAGAAATTGCTTGTAAAGCAACTTAGGTAGCTTTATCACATAAATAGCCTTTACATCAGCTATATGAATGTTTTTAAGCTATCCAAACCAAATACAAGAAAGTTAAGAGCAAATTTTACATTTTTTAATCCAGTATCAAACCTGTTATCTTTGCATCATCATTCACATTATTCTCCAATTTGGGAGTCTGACCACCCACTTTGAACCCCTTTTTCGGAGATTTTCCTTTAGACGTCTTCTTTCGTGGGGACTTGTCCCCTCTGCCAGTCAGAACTGGATCATTGGCCTCTCCACTCTCTTGAGATAGAGATATTTTCTCCTTCCTTTTAGGAGAACGACCCAGAGAAGACTCAGAATCTGATGATAATGTCCAAATTGAACCATTTGCTGCCTGCTCAACATAGATGTAGGGAGTAAATTTTACATTAATGTTGATCATACTGTTAAATGAATGAAAGATGGTTTTGTTCTATAAGAATATGATTCATTTCCAAAGCAAAATTTATCTTTATGTTAATAAATTCTAAAAAGAAGTCCAAATCAATTTTTAAGTTTGACGACTTTTCTGATAGACCATGAAAGGCTATAATAAAGGAGAACCCTGAATTAGGTAATCCCAAGGCAATGTGAAGTTTCTTACATGAGGTCCCAAGTGTTTCTTGGATATTTCTTCCTTAGCAGCCTTTGCATCATCCCTATGTCCTGTATCATTACTAAAAGCTCATAGTGCACCAGTTGTAAAGAACAAAGTCAAATTTATATATATATATATATAACAGCGCTAAACGGGGAAAGAAACACTCATAATCAGAAGTTACTCTGTTTTAAGATTTCATTGGAACATCACTCTGTTTACCTTCTGAACTTTTCAAGACATCTATTTTCTTCTTTTTCGAAGGAGTTTGATGTAGTTTATTGTCATTTCTTTCGCCCTTTTCCAATGTAGATGAACTGTGTAGAAAGGTTTCTTCATCATCAGTTTTATCCTCCCTAAGCGGGCTACAGTTTGGTGAAGAATTGGAATCCGAAGATAATGTCAGCGTAGAAGTTGGCGCCTGAAAACAAAGTAAATTCTCAGGGTCAGTAAGAGAACTAGGTAAAGGTGCAAGCAAGAGTAAACTAACTACCATAGGGTTTACAAATCAAAAGGTTGAAGTAGAACAATTTGATCAACCTTTGAACTTTGGCAACAAATTGAATTGCAAAAAAAAAAAAGTGCGGGGGGAAATATAGTGAAGACTGTCAAGCAAATAGCTCTCTAAGTAAAAGCATTTTTGAAGTAATTACCAAGTAAAGCACGTAATTAATTAACCTAATTGAACTTCTTTGGAACGAAAAGGAAGCAAGGACAGCAATCGGTGAAGTTCAAGTAACAACAGTAACAGAAGCTATAGAAAGCAGGGTAAAGATACCTGAAAAGAACGCAGCCAATCTGGAGAATTTTCCCTGGAGCTACTCATTCTTCCCTGACATTAGACTATACAAATTCATGATGTCCACATTTAAGCCCAGAAAAGAACAGAAAAATAAAAGGTGGCGAGAGTCCAATAAATCAATGGAAATGTTAGCAGAGAAACCCTAAAAGGCTGTCCTCAAGGTAGAAAATGTTTGCATTTTGAGTTCATGAGCTGTTTAAGTAAACAAAAGGTAGCAAGACTCAAATAAGTCAATGGAAACGTTAACGGGGCCAGGCGTAGATCAAAGAAAATAAAACTAAATAAGAAAGAAGAAGGGAAGAGGACGGTACCAGATAAAATGCAAGTGACGGGAGTGAGTAGCAGAAGAAGAGGGAAAGAGAAATGCAAGAGAGGGGCAAGGCCCAAGGCCGCCGGGAATCAGGTGAGTGAGACAGTGCGCGGGATTTGGTTCGAGAGTTGAGAGAATCAATCAGGGTGGAGCGGTTAGGGCTTCACCGGTGGGCACTGGGCTGGATGGACTATGGTTGAGGAAGTTCTTTTGGTATTTTCCC